TTAAATAGAATATTTTTATTAGAATTTATACAGTGTAATTTCTTATGAATATTTCTGAAAGATTAATTTTTCATTAATTTATTCTTTCAAAATATTTCAAAATTAGTAAGGTTTAAAAATAATTTGGAATAAAAAGTTTCAAATCAGTAGAGTTATCTTGGTTATTTCAGAGATCAGTATGAATCATTGATATTAATATTTAGTGATATAATGCATTTATCAAAATAAATTAAAACAAATCAAATTATGAAATAATTGATGCAATAAAATAAATTTTGAAAGAATTTTTTTTTAAAATATTACCAAAATTGCATTAATTACCTACCAATCTAAATAAATGTACCAAATTGTCTAAAGCCAAACAATCAGCTAAACATGACTGGGGATGCCTTATGTGCCCATGTCCTTACCTCTTTGGCACTTAACCAAGGAATTAAGGCCATTTGCATTTTCTTTTGGAAATTTGTAAATTAAAAATTAATTTATTATAATTATTAAAATTAATATGAAATGGCAACATATCCACCTACCTCTAATAAAATTAACTGGTGACTAATTATTAATGTAGCTTGAAAATAGTTCAATTATTTGATAAACGATGGCTTTAATCAGTTAAATTGTGTTTTGAATTGATGTTTTTCCTTATTACAGAAACAAATATTGTACAGTAAATCCTGTCTAAATGAAATGTGCCTAAATGGAAAAAACTTTAGAATGTATCAGATTTTCTACATTAAATTTTGCTATAAGTTGGAAACCATGTCTAACATGGAAGTAGAAGAGATTTTTGGGTACAAAAAATATAATTTTTCACTTTATTCAAGTCAAATTAAGATTTTACTTGTGGATAAACAAGTAAAATTTCCTCTAGGTATAAGTCACCACAGAGCTTGACAAACTGTGTTCTGAGATGAGTTTGATCATTTTCATAGAGATGAAGGTTACATGGTGAGAGACAGACACAAATTTCCGTCACTATTAGTTTTTGTTGAAATAAAACAAGATAATTGAATACTTTTAAGAATTTGGCACCTTCAAGATTCAAATGAGTTTCTGAGAACTGAATTTCAAGAATAAGCAACAAATGTAACTTATTGAAAATAATGAGAATAAGGTAACACAGTGCTGCCAATTTTCCTTGTATGAACTATGGAGTAGTTAGTAACTAATTAGTACCAGATATAAATATGAATTATTTTATAATATATTATAATTTTATGTTTTTAATATTATCATAAAAATATGTTTGTTATTAATACATTTATAATGTATACAAAAATAATCTGTGCAGAAAATTAAAATATCATTTTTATTTTGTCTTGAATGCAGTATGGAAATGCTACTTATATACTTATAATATATTTTGTCAGGATATTGTATATTGTTAAATCTTGTATTCAGGATTTATTAAATGAACATCCTGTATATCCTGTTCAGATGAGGAAGGAAACCTAGTTCTGCATACTAAATTTATGATAAATAGAAAATTTATGAAATTGTTTAGATTTTTGGATTAAAAAAAAAAAGCGAATGATAAGTTTAGTTAAATCTGTCAACATCTAAAACTCCATATTGGTATTTTGTCAAACTATTAATATATTTCCTTAATATCTTAAAAAAAAATTGAAATAAATATTAGAACTACTTATTGAAATAAGTAGTTCTAATATTTGTTTTATTTATATAAGTGTTAATAATTTATTTTATTTTATTTTTTGATTAATTCTTCATCCTTTGAATACGTCTAATGTAGTTTTATTATAATTCAAAATATTAATTTTAAATGTAATTTATTGAAAATAATGAGAATAAGTTGGAGATAAAGGTTTGTCATCAAAAACTGTATTCTGGATCAAAGAGAGTGAATAAATGGTGACTACTTTTTCAAAAAACTGTCTCTTCAGTTTTAAAATTTAGGTATTGTTATCTCACAGGCAATATAGATTGATTTAAAATAGCATCTCTTATCACATTGTCCATTATAGAATAGAGGAAACAACTGTGGCATGATTATTTAGAATAAATAGATGAAAAACTATTTCAAATCTATGCCAAAATGTTGAAAGTATATTCTGAAGATTGTATGAATTATTCTAATATTTGGCAATGGTGTAAAATGCTCAAACAAGCATGAAAAAGTCTGTATAATGAGCAGTGATCTGGCTGTAAGCATAGAAGGTTGCAGAAAACATTTTGGCATTTTTGAATTTTCATTATCATCATGTATATCAACTTTGGAGTTTTTGTGCTTGTTGTATTTCAGGATGCTTATGGTTGTCTTCTCAGTTTTCGTAGCCAGTTGAGAACTTTTGTCACATTCATTTTACAGCTCTGATCTAGTGACTACTACTAATTTGGATCACATAAGTTTCTCAGGGGGAAGAGGTTTTAGCCAAAGATTTGAAATCCAGGACTCAACTCAAAAAAAAAACCAGAAATGCTTGTGATTTTACATAGAAAAATAAGTCTATACTTATATTTCATTTTGTGTATTCAGTTTAAATAAAATGCATTATCTGAAAAATTAAAAAGGCATTACTTTTCAGAACACCTTTGTAGAAATTGTGATTAAAAATTATCATTATATTTAAAGTATTGTACATACAGATTATTATTGATTTTCTGTTTATCTAATCAAGATAAGCATCGTATTTAGTAGAATTAAATATAAGATTATACAGAAATTGATTTTAATTCTAAAATTTAGTCTTTTATTTTGTGATTAGTTGGAGTTAGTTGCTCACAAACTTATATTTTTATGTACCTGTACTTGAGATTTTTGGATAATTTATAATTTGTGTCACTTTTTAAGTACTTCAGGTTGAAAAAAATATGTAAAATCTGTTTAAAATTAGTAACAAAATTTAAGCTTTATAACAATTTAAAAAAAAAAAAATTTTATTATTATTATTTCTTTTATTTTTATAACAAAGAAATTAAATGATGATGAAGGAAGCAAATCTTTTTTATTGAATTAATTGATGTTTAATGTTAAGACATGTTTAATGCTAGAATCACTGAAGGAAATCAAAATTTATTCGAGATTAAATGCTTTTTTGGGATATTCCATTATCGCAGGCCTGGCCAACCCGCGGCCCGTCACGTTAAATTGTGTGGCCTGCTAAGCAATATTATATATCTATTAAAACTTTTGTTTCCTGTTATGTGTATACCAAAACAATTAAATGAATGAAAATTTGCATGTCATTGTTATAATGTGTAGGTGCGAGTATGAACTCTTGTTATAACAATAAAATCTTATTCATTTTGTATTGTTTTACTTTTTTAAAAGCATGTTTGCCTAAATTGTGGCCCACCATAATGTTGCACGTGATCAAAGTGGCCTGTGAAACAATTTGGGTTGTCCAGGCCTGCATTATCAGATTTTACAAACTTGAAAAAAATTGAAGAAGCATTCAAAAGATTTGTGCAGAAATACTTTAACTGTTTTCAACTGTTCACTTTTCATTTTTTGTTCCAAATGTATAAGATCTAATGATGCAATGTGTATTTCCAAAAAGCATTTAATCTCAAATCTTGGGAATCTTTCAGTGATTCTAGCATTATATTATTTTTATTTCCTATGGAGTCAGTGAACTGGATAAACTGTTAGGATGATATTTGAACTATCTTATGGAAAGATCTGAAAAACAGATTTGTTATTTTCACATTTAAAGCTAGAATTATCTGTAGAGTAAGTATTGAGATTTTTAAAACTGATACACATCTTTAAATTTTTTTCAATTTAGTATAAATATCAGATGCTATTTCATTTGTATATTCAAAAAACATGAAATGCATAATTTAATACCATTCTAGCATGAGATAAACTTTAAATAAATCTTATTTTAAACATTTAGCATAGGGTTTACACTTTTTCTTGTAATATATAATGAAATTCTCTAATTAATATGTAACTGTTGCTATATTTAAAATATGTAATGTTTGTTTGAACAAGAATGTTCATAGGTTAGATTGCCAATTATAATCAGGAAATGTAGTGCAAACTAGATCAAACATTACAAGTGATATTGAATAGTTTGAGGACAAAGTTTTAGAACAGAACACAGACTACAGAAGATTGTTTATCAACATTCATAAGTAGAGTTATTGTTTGCTTCTATGTTAAACTAATTTTTCTGCTATATATAATTGTTACAATGGTAATGCATCATCTTCATGATAAGTAAAAATTACAGATTCAAATCTCATTTTAATCAATTTGGTTTTCCTTCCAGAACATTCTAAATTATTTAATTATTTTTAATTTCTAATTATTATATTACTATATTGTTTTACATATAACTTCCTATCTTTAGGTCAAATAATAGAATTTTGTATATAATCATTTAGCTTGAAAATGTGGAGATAGAATTTGGCAATTAATAATTAGTCTTGGTTATTATTTATATTTATATAGCTAACAGTGTTTAGCTTTCAATTCAAACACTTGCCTGCATTTTTGTTTGTATATCTTATATAATTTGGAATATTTAGCATACTACTACATTATAATTGAACATCAAAATCAATAGTTATTTCTTGAAAATTTACAAAGGTTGCTAAATTGTATTTCTTCTTAATTTATTCTTCTTATTGTAACATCTTTTTATGTTTAATGCAGTTTGCTATTATTCCAAACACATTGTACATTTAATGAGTGTGATTTTAATATTACACTTGGAGTTATTAATTGGTATTTTATACATTTATGGGAAAATACTTGTTTAAAAATTCTTTGTCATTTTTTTTTCAGCTGATTTTTGATATTTTCAGTTCAGTTTTCAAAGTTATTGAATGTCTAAATTTTTATTTATGTAATAATAAGATATAATTTACTAATGATTATATGATAATATGATTATACTATATTATGATAATATATAATAATAATAATATGATTTACTATGATTTATAATAAAATATGATTTACAATATTTATGAGTTGTTGTTGTGCTTTTATTAATTTTAAATTATATATGTATATTTTTTTTTTACAGTTAATTAAATTATGTAATAATATGGTAGAAACTGGAAAATCTTTTATAGCATCAAAAAAGTAAGTATAATATAAAATAAAAGTTTAAAATAAGAAATGAAAAATTTTTAATAAATGAAATTTTCATATTATTTTTCATGCTGTTGAAACAATTCAAATTTAATTAATACAAACTAAATTGAATTTAAGATAAAATATTGTTTAAAATTAATTTTTTGAACTGTGTTTTAAAAAGATTTTTTAATAAATAATATGCTTAAATAATCTTGTCAAAAGAAGAACATATGTATATAAATAATGTATTCAGTACAATCACATTTTATGCAAACTTGAAATTATAAAAGCTTACTTTATGTGCAAAATTTGAAATAATGTAAATCCTTAAAACCTATAAAAAATTTGATAAGAATCATGTATGTATTTGAAAACTGTATATTTATACTCTTAATAAATATCTCAAAACTGGAGTGTGGTTACTATTACTAACTTTAAAACCCCAGAAATACAATAAAAAGACAATATTTATTAGTGAAATGTGCTGTGAAAACCTGATTATTACCATTAAACATGGTTGAAAATGTTCATTTCACTATTAAATATTACCTTTTTACTGGATTTCTGGTGTTTATGCTATTATTGTATGGAAGTATTAATTAGCTGGTAAACAGAAATTCCAATAATTACAGAAGTATGGTGATTTATAGCTAATAATTTTTTTATACTAAACTCCAATTAACATCTACACAGTTCATTTCATTCCAGAATGTATTAATATGAGTTTCTTCTATCAGAAAATTGCCCCAGTTCTTTTGGGTCTCGACAACCTATCTGCAATGATTATTAGGAAATCAATTAACTTTCTTTTGAAACAAATTTAAAAATAAAACTCTAAAATTATAACCATTATAATTTTTAACTTCTTTTAAAATAGTACTAATCTTTATCTTCAGTTGCTATATTATCTCAAAATGTTTGACCTTTTTAAGGTCATTATTAGTGGAAGTTTTTCAATATGCACAACTTAAACAAACACAACTGATATGCTAGGACAGGTACCCAAATTTCTATCAATTCATTGCCTGTGATATTTTGAAGGTCTGAACTTTCAAAAGAATATCACTGACAATGGAATGATGGAGTTATTCAAACGCATAAAAATGAATACTTTCGATAGATGCAAATGGATAAAAACTAATAAATCTAGAGTTCAAAGATCAAAATTGTAATGACAAATCACTTTCACTGAATACTTCTGTTTAAATGTTCTGCTCTCAAATTCCTTTGAAAGATTTTGACATTGATGTATTCCAGTGAAGGAAATGAAGAACTTGTGACCACTGATACAGAACAAAATGAAACAAAAGATTAAATAAAATATACTAAGTGAATGAAAGTATAATTCAAAGAGGGTTATCCAGACATTGGAAATGGTACCACAACCTTTAAAGGAAGATTGAGTGTGTTATCGTATGATTAAGAAATTGATAAAAATAAGTTTGCTGTACTAGCCACTGTGGTAACTTAACTAATTATTTAATGGACTTTTAAAAATCTTATTGTTAAAGATGCATTAAGTAATTCAGCACAGTTTGTTGTAATATGAAATGGTTTGTCAAATTTAAATAGTTAACTGTAAATTTTTCAGTTTTTTTTTGTATTTAAAAAATTTAGAAATATTAAATAGATAATTTTTGAAATTATATTATTTACAGTTCTTTTATTAATGGAATTTGGGAGATGGTGGTTTATTTCAAAGAAGATTTGCCTATTGTTGTAAGTACATAAATATTTAATGAATTTAAATATACATAAAAGTCATAATACATAATAGTTATAATAATCATAATTCTGTGTATTACACCCAATTATTGTAACTGTTTTATTTATCTTAAACTGTGAAAGTTGAATATTTATAAATATTATATATGCTATATAAATAATATAAAATATCAGTATCATAGAGTTAAAACAAATAAACATCTTTGCATACCACCTTAAATTATATATTTATAAATTATTTTAAAAATTATCATTTATATAATGAAATTTATTAATTTTAAATAAATCAAACTAAACACTTTCCTAGATTATGACTTAAGATTTCTCTATTTTTTGATTTCAATAAATTATATCAAGGAATATGTGATAAAGAATAATGTCATATATTATGGTTGACTAAGTTAGTCAGTCCGATGTATGATATTTATTTTTCCGTAGAAACATCTATCTTATTTCTAAAATCTTACATTGAATATATTTTATTGGTGATGTTAATACAATGGTTTTGATTTTGATTTGAAATAGTTATTTGTTAGAGTTTTTAGAGCATTAAATATTGGTCTGTATTTATTGTTACTCCTTAAGATAAATATACAAATGTTTAGTAGTGTGTGAAAATACAAATGTTTAAAACTTTTTGTTAGAAATTATTGCAGACTCTATCGGCCGATTGCAGAGACAGAGTTTACATTAAACGACGTTTATCAACGAACGGCCTATAGCCGTTGGCTGGCTGAACCGCAGTTTAAAATGCATTGCAAAGACGACGATCGTCTATTTCTGACCGTTCTCTAAACGAACTTCGGCAAAACATTGGCTCTTACTTACTTCGCTATTACTCCCCTGTTTTAGGAGTCGTTCGGCCAATCGGATTATTTCTTCGTGACGTCAGAAATGGTCGTCAGCTATATTCCGAAAGCTTAAGGCCGTCAAAATCATTGTTCGGCAATTAATGACAATCCTTTTCCATTTCGATATTTAATTTCGTCGCCAATACGATTTAAAATATGAACAAATCCATATTTAGAAAATTTATACCGAATTCGAAATTCGTCTTCGGAATAGATTTTTAAGGAATTATTTCGACATCTTATTACTGTCGAAATGAATAATTTTAAATATTTTATTATTAATATTGCATTTTTTTTAATATCTATAAACAGATTTCTGTAATTATTAAAATTGTCTCTTTTGTTTAACAGTACAATGACTCGGAAATGCATTAACGTTTTATAACCGACACGATACTCGAATTGTAAATAAATGCATCTGATTTAAATTAAATTGAAGTTTTAAGTCTTCGCCCATTTGAATGTCGAAATTGGAACATTTAAAACAAATTTAAAGTATTTAATTTTGTTGTTTTTGCGCCGAGCAATTAATTAATGAATAATTTTGTCGATTCGTACCGTTTACAACATTTATCGAAGGAAAGATATCTGTTTTTATCTAAACTTTTCCACGAACAAAGCTACCACTCGAATTGAAAAGCCCTCTAAACCTCCTGTCCAGTGAGTCTAGAAAATAGGTCAAATAACTTGTTTCTAATCACTGTCTACATTGTGGCAGACGAGAAACGCCGTCTCTGCAATGAAATTTTTCTGAACATTGGTCTACCCGATCTGTAAACCGCCATCGGCCTCTAAACTTTGTCTCTGCAATCGGCCCTATGAATTCCCACTGTCATCCGTCTGCCTAACTGTCCATTTTTTAATCTCAAGAATAGAATTAGATAGAGGAAAGTTGAGACCAGATATGGAAAACTTAAGGGCAGGAGACCCCAATTAGCTATACATGACCTTTCAGTTTAGACTGAAAGTCGTGCTATTTCAATTCAAAAATTTTTTTCTGAACAGAGTTAGATAGATGACTGGCATGACTCTACATTAAGAAGAAAAGTATGAGGTACAGGGGCAAGACAATACTAAAATGGAGAGCATTGTAACTAAAAATTGCAGCCTGGCATTGTGGCATTGGCAATTATTTGTTTATGTCACAACATATAATTGCTCATTTTATATAATATATTTGAGAAAGGAATAGAGGATCAATGAATTGTGGCTTTGTTGATAGCACTTAAGTTATTAAAAAAAGTTAAAGTATAATAATTTGTTTCCTGGCTAACCAGTTTGTTTTTAATATTTATTTCTATTTATTGCATAGTTAGCTTAGAGATGTAGAGATATGCTCAAATTATAATCATTATGATAAGTTGCATAGTTAACATAGTTAACACGGAAGAAGTGAATTGTCATCAGAATATTCCAGAACTGAATTATTCTTGAAACAGACTCAAATAGTCTTCCTTAATGTCTTCTAATGAAATATTCTGCACTATGAAAAATACTGAAATAGCTATACTGTCATAAAGTTTTGCTTAAAATAAATATAAATAGTATAATTAGAGTCAAATTTCTGCCAGAAGTATTTAAAGCTTTTGACATTTAGAAAATTATCCATAAATTTAAAAATGTTCTTCTTTAAGATTTCTGTCTACTACTTATAAATGAATTGAATTTTGTAACATCCAAAGAAGTAATAATTTTTATTTTCTGCTATCCTTTTTATAGATTAGCTTTGTTTATAACATTATTGGAAGTGTTATAATTGGTTTAATAGTTTAAAATAATTTTAAAATAAGTTTAAAATAATAGTTTAAAAACATTTTGTTTAATTGATAATTTTATATTTATTGATATTGCCTATTTTAGTTAATAATAGTGAAAAATGCAGGATAAAAATTGCACTTTTTGAATTTTTCATTGAAATTTTCTACTTTTTAATACAAAACTATTTTACATTACATTCCTAAAACTACAAAAATGTAATGAGCAAATAAATACATAATTTCCTTAATAAAACAAAGAATTATTCTAAATAAAAATTGATAATTCTGGAAATATGATTGTAGATTTTCTAAACTTTGGCAATTTTGTTATCTGGGTAGTAAAAGCAAGAGACATATTTAGAATAAAAAATTTGTAGAATGTATAGATGATACTTAAAAATTACTTCGTAAAAATTAAATAAATATTAAAAGGTAAAATAGAACTGTACTATAATGAAACACTTGATGTGCTGCCATTATCATTGTCTGGAATAGGAATCATTTTTATCTGAAATAACTATAAACTTGAAAGTAATTGAGAAAATATTTAATAATTTTACATCACATAAAGTATCAAAATGTATGCAAATAACAAAGAACTTTTAAATTAAACTGAGCTGTAAGAATCATACTTGAAATTCTCAATTAAATCTTCAAAGTGAGAGAGAAATGATGGTGGCACTTCAGGTTTCCTGGAGTGTGGTGTTAGAATTATCTTTACCAAACATTTATATGATTTTGGAACAAAATTATTTATAATTCTTATTACAGTAGAACCTCGAAAACTCGGTCCTCGATAACCCGGCACTCCGGATAACTCGTCCACACCCTGGCTGGGCAAAAAAATCCTTAGTTAATTAATTTTAATTATAGACAGCTTTATAAAAGTATAAAAGCTCTCATAAAGTATTTTTCTGAGGTCTGTCTTATCAGGTAAATTACTGTACACAGTGTATTCATTAATTTTCATTTTCATGTAATAAAGGCTCTATGCCTTCATAAAGTACATACTTTTCCTTTGTTTAAGGGTATTTGGGCAGTTTATTCTCTGTTGTATTCTCAAGTTAACAATACATACAAGTACAGTACACTATTTTCTGAGGAAACACGCATACTTATCCTTTTTTAACCCCATTCTCGATAACCCGGCATTTTCGCAAACTCGGCCACCCTTCGGTCCACATTAGGCCGAGTTTTCGAGGTTCTACTGTATAAGCATATATTTTATTGCAAAAATTTTATTGAAATTGATATGATAACCATATTTTTTTTATTCTTTTGTGGAATGATTTTTTTTCATTTTTTATTCCTTTTTTTTTTTATAGTTTTTCCATGTTTTCAGACTTATATATGATTGACATTTTATTTTAAAATCAATTTATTGTTATATTACAATTATATTGTAATTATTTTGATATTAATTTTTAGAGTGCTCTTAGCAAGCTCAACCAAGCAATGACTGAACTAACAAAGTATCATTCAGTAAGTAGTAATTATTAAAAATTTTTTCAACAAGAAATTACCATAAACTCAATATCATTTGCAGATTCTTATTGATCAAGCGCAGAGATCAGTTGGAAAAAATTTACAAAATTTTGTTAAGAAGTAAGTATAGTAAATTTTAATTATGCTAATTAAATATAAATAAAGTAATTATTGGTTATTTAAATTGATTTAAAGATTTTATAGAATAAATATATTGAGTTTACAAAACTTTTACTCATTTAATTGATGTATAACTGATAGATACAATTCATAAAATTGCTGAGTTATTAATTTATCGATAATTGTTCTTGATTTAAATTAGAGATGTAGAAATTAAAAAGAACTATTAAGTAAGATATATAATATGAAATATTCTATAATTTAAAAATTATTCAAATATGAACTTAGAGTTTTTATACAGTTCTTTCTGTGTATATTAGAAAAATTATAATTTTCGAAAAATCGAAAGTCCAATTTCAGGCCATGCTTGCTACTACAATCATTTTGATTTTTTTTAAAATTATAATCACACTCTAAAACAGGGATGGGCAACCTTTATCTATGTAAGGGCTACATTTCAAAAGTTTTACACTGACGTGGGCTGCATTCAAGAGAAAAGAGGGGGAAAAGTCAATAAATCACAATTATTTATTCATATATAGTGTAGGTATACTTAATTTAACCAAAACAGATGTAAATGTAATATATCAGAAATATTTGGTTAAATGTTAGTCACTGCTAGTTTTAAATTAGTTTCAATATGTCTGTTAGCCGGTTTCTTGTTTTAATTTTTACTAAATTCATTGCAGAAAAACTATTCACATACATAATTGTAGAAAATAACATTTGAATTTTTGCTGCATACTTCCTTAAGCTGGGAAATTAATATATTTACTCATATTTAATGAGATGCCGACCACAAAAATTATTGCTGCGGGTTGCCCATCCCTGCTTTAAAAGATGCCAAAGATTGACAAAACTGCTAATGTTGTGCCAATAAGATAACAAAACTGATCTTATTTTCATAAGACTATGTCACAACTCCTTAGGACCCATTCAAATGCTAGTACATTGGTTTGTGGAATTCATTTTGTTTTTGATGATGGAGGGAGGGAAGATGATAATGTGTATTGCACTGTTGTTTATTTTTTTTAGTCATCACAAAATTGACTGAAAATAATTTTTTTGTTTTTGCAAATGGTCGACTTCTGGTCTGATCACATAATTTAGGAAGAAAGGTTACCTTGATTTCTGATGTTTGATGATGGTAGGGATGAGGATCATAAAAGGCAAAAATAATTTACCTTTTCTTCCTTGTCAGAAAGGCATATGTATATAAACAGGGTATCCCTCGTACAACATGGTTTGAAAATTGGGTATATCCCTCATAAAACATGACTTCTGGTTTCACTCTAATATGGTTTGGGAAATCCTCTATACAAAATTTCACAATTTTTAAGTGTAAACTTTATTATTTGATATGTCTTTTTATTTGAGTAAGCACACACGTTGTCTCAAATTTGCCCGTGGATTTTAGAATATTGAAAGTTTCCAATTTGTTTTGTGCTTTTTGTCAGGTTTACTTTAATGAAAACCAATAGTACAATTTTTTTCTTTCCTGTTGTACCTTTCCTATTAACCAGGTGTCATTTTTTTCAGACTTTAGCCCTTAAGACTGTCACTGTGTTTTGTTTTTATAGGTTAATCTTTGTATTTAGTAAAGTTTTTTTTTTTAAACATTTTTAGGTGTTATATAATTTTTTTAAATTGTAAGTAAGTAATTATTTGTAAAAATGATGAATGAAATATAGTGTTCAATCTGTTCCCAACTCAAAGAATTTGGTATTCAAGCACAAATTCTGGAAAAAAATTGCTCAGTACTTGACTGAACAAATGTGACCTTTCACAACAAATTAGTATAGTTTTGAATAATATAGTTTTAATTTTTCATCCATAGGAAATTATGATAAAAATAAAAATATGAAAACATTGCTGATATTTCTGATCAACAAAAAAGCTGAGATGATGACAATACTTTGTAAAAAGAAAATGCCCTATTTAACTAAAATTAATATTAATACTTAATACAGTACTTTTAATTGACAATACAGTACAATTATTGATTGAAAATAAATTATCAATTTCTTTAATAAGCATGTTTCTATTAGTAACGAAAAAGAATAGTATACTTTTGTTAACTTCTGGAATATAACCCTATGTTTTGCTTTAGTCCTTTGTTTCGTATAGCATGGATTAATATGGAACTTTCTCGGAACACATGTACTGTGTTATTCAAGGGAATATACATATATATAATTCAAATTAAAGGTGAGAGATTCTGGATTAAGCCTGATGTAAAGGTAACATCTGAGAATGTCAAAAAAAGTAAAAATATAAAAGAAAAAGTGATGTAACCATATTAAATTTAATGTCAAAGGTTTCAAAAAGTTTAAATAAAAAGGAAGTTTGTGCAAGTTTAACATCTGGTTTAGTAAAATTGCATTGCAGTTATTGGTCAGTTTAAAACAGTGTGATTCTAACAAGAGGGTTTTGTATTAATATTTCAAATATGTTGAATTTTTAACTGCTATAAAAATTGAAATGATCAACATAGTTTCTCAGAAATAAATTGTTTTAGAGGAATTCTAATGATGAATCTATAAAATCTATGAAATTTTTTATCTTGCCTTTACCTTTCTAAGTGATTGAAATATTATCCCTAGCATTCTACATGTATTAATCATTCTGTAATATATAACTGTGTGGAATTAATTTCCAATGAATATTAATGAAATTTAAAATTGCTTTCTCTTGAAATTGAATTTGTAACTTAGAAACTTTAATAATTTTTATTTTTTAAATTTCTTGGCATTCTATAATAAAACATTTCTTGTTATATTTAGTCTAAAAAACTAATATTGTTTCATTTATATTAAAATTTTATGATAAATATAATTTTAATATTTATGTATGCATTTTTAATAAATCTTTAGTGATATAAGACAAGCAAAGGAATCAAAACGTTACTTTGAAAAAATTGGAGATGACTTAGATAATGCTTTAATTAGAAATTCTCAAGCTCCTCGAAGTAAAACACATGAATGTGAAGATACAAGTAGCATACTAGCAGCTGTTAGATCTTGCTTTCAACACACAGCTCTAGATTATGTATCTCAAGTGAGTTTTTATTTTAAAATAATTTTTAAATGTTTGCTATATTTAAAATTAAGATCATTTCATTATTTTTTATTAATTGTAATATTTTACTGTTTATGATGGTAGTCATCAGAATGCTATTTTGCATCAGTATGTTAATATAATTAATTTTCTAATCTAAGATTTATTTTTTTTATCTAGTTAAGCTGTTTGCAATCAAAAAAGAGATTTGAAATCCTTGACACAGTAAGAAAATGACTTATTTTTAAAAAATTTTGTAATCTTATATTTAAAATTTAAAAAATAATGGTATTAGTTAAGAAATTTTTAGTTTGTATAAAGATTAATGAAATATTTTAGAACTTATTATAGTGAGTAACAATATTTTTCAGTTACCTGTAAAATTTGAACAGGATTAAAGATAAGATCTAGTTAAGAGGGTCAAAAAGAACAGAGAATACTTTTGACAATTCTGAAGTTAATTTCTAATTTACTCTGTTGTAGATAGAGAAATATAACAATTAGAAATTGTATTTATGCTACTTTAAGAAAATAAGTTAAATTGTTGTACACAAAACTTTAAAAAAAATTAAGTAACTATTTTTTGTATCTGTGATAATTAATGATGATCAGATAATGGAGTATTTATAATTATCAGATGTAGGCTATGTACTATAATTACATAATATACCTAAAATTACAGTATCAATCATATGTACACTGTTCTACCATTAATAGCAGAACATTGCCAAATCATGTGAAAACAGATGTCAGGTAAGTATAGGGATATCCTGATACTACCAATAAAGACATTGTATTGATTCTTTCCTTTGATACTGAGTACTCTATACTTTTGGTCTGATACTGATACTGGTATCAATACTTTACTTTGGATGTTGGGCTTTGAACAGGCCATAACAAAGGAGAGCACGTGAAATGCTGATTTTAATGGAATTAACAAGCTTTCAATGTTGAAAACTTGAAATACTAGGATGCTACATTTGTAAGTGTTCTCTATAAGATATAGACACTTGGTATTCTGAAATCAACAATAACCGGCATCTTATATACAAATGAAGAGGCTGGAGCTGAATCCACCAAGAAATGCTCCAGAAAACTCCCAAATTGACAGAAAGAAACAAAGTTTCGTGCAATGCTCTCACACAAATCTTGGGACAACTCAGCACAAATATGGTCAAAGGATGTCTGTGGGTTAGTCATTCAACTGTTCCCAAGTCACTGATCACTTTGACAGATGCTAGATGCTGATTGATGTGGTGTACAGAACACAAATCCTGGACTATAGATCAGTAGAATTCCTTTCTGTGGATAGATGAAAGTTCTCAATCTGCTAGTTGGATGGCTGTACCTAGGTGTAGCAAGTGCCAGGGGACCAGTTCTTCCAGACTGTATAGTGCCAACAAAGAGGTTTGGTGGAGATAGTATTGTATGGCTTGGCCCCACTATTTGTTATTAATGAATGCTGTACAGTATCTTTATATTCTGGACAAATACACACTACAAACATTTTGGCAGTACTTCAAGGAAGGCCACTATGTTTACTAGCAAAATAATGCACTCAGCCCTACTGCTCATGTTCTAATTGGAATGGTTTGCAAACATGGGTGGTGAAAAGTTGGATTGGCCAGCCCAAAGTCCTAATCTCAATCCTACTCAGTACCATTGGGATGGACTGGAGCAGGAACAGTGCTAAACTGCTGGCTATGTTAAAGACTGAATGGAGGAACATTTCACCAGATATTATAAAAAAATTGTGGAGATTATAAAGCATAAGGGCCATCATAGAAGTCAAAGATTTCAGCAAAAGATATTAGAAACCAATATCTGGAGTCCGAAGCATTGGTGTCTAGATATAAATGGTATGGCAGTGTGGCATAGCATATTATGTGGAACATATTCTGAACATATTATGAAATGAATGCAAATGACATTTTTCATTTGCATTATAAATACAGTAGAACCTCGATTATCTGGACTAATTGGGGATTAAGGTAGTCCGGATAAGAAAAAATTCAGATAATTGAAACAAATACTTTAATTTGTCTTTTAATAATTATACAACATGTTTTCTTTTCGATGACATATCGGTAATATTAAAAATAAATACTGTATTTAAATCATGATTAAATTTTCAAGAAACAAATGTTTGTATTGAATTTGGACTACTACTAACCAATGCTAACAGACTACCTATTGTTTAAAAGACCCTCTGGTGGCGCAAGAAGACGGATTTTATAAAATAAAAAGCAGTCGAAACTGCATTTTTATGAATAAAAATTTGACAAACTATTTATCGTTTTATGACGAGTAAAATTTTTTCGGTGCATTTGCGGCTTTTAAGTAATGCATGAATCTTCGAAATGCGGGGCCCTTCGGACTGTGAGGCATAGGTGGTGGCCCACGTTGCCTGTGCCTTATGCCGCCTTTGGTCATAGAAATGATGTAATTTGAAAATAAAATTATTTATAAATATGTATGTAAATATGTATGTCAAGTTACATTTTTATTACGATGCAAAATATATTTAAGAGTTTACGGCCATTGTGCCGGGTGAGATGTTGTTGAAACAAAAAAAGTTATGCATTCCATCACGCACATAAACAGTATTGTAATTCGCCAAGTGCAAATCAGCAAATTCATAAAATTTTTGTTTATTTTGAACAATCCAGATAATCGAAAATCCGGATAATAGAGGTCCGAATTCTACTGTATTTATAAAATAAGGATATAAAACTTTAAAAATATATTTTTGAAGTTATTTTATTTATTAATTTCTGAAATTTAGTTGTAATTAATTAGATATGAATTATTACTCATATGTTGAATGGTTTGTATATTAAAAACATTTTAAAAAATAGATCTAAGAAGAGAAATCTGTAAATAAAATGGAAAATAACATTTTAAACAAGTTATGAAATTTATATAGGAAACTGAACCTGAACTAGAAAATTTTAAAATTAATATACTTATAATTATATTATGATTATTGTTATCTATAAATCAAGATTTCAAACACAATTATTTTGATTTTCAGTTTCTCTCATTAATGCATGCATATAGTACTTACTTTCATCAAGGTTGGGATCTGTTTCAAGATGTTGATCCTTTTCTTAAACATCTTGCAGGAACAGTAAGTTAAAAATTTTTAAATTTTAAAAAGAATCTTGATATACTAAAGTAGTACTAATGAAAATAAGTATAGAAATTTTACATACTAATAATATAGCCAGAACTGTCTAAAGTCACCTCTAAAAGTTGTACCAACTCATAAGTCACTGAAAATGGCTCGTCTTGATTTAGATCCTATACAAACTAATGGTGTTAAAATGACATATGTATAAAGACTAAAGTCACACTTCTTTGCTAGTCTCATCTATACATATATAAATGCTAATTACATAAATTTATGATCATCAGAAGAAAATTAATATTCAGATGTTTTACTGATATCTCAGTGAACAATGTGAATAGTAGAGATGCTGAATATCAACATTGTACATTTGTTTCTTTTGTATAAATTGTGACTGTGTTAAAATTTTAATTGTTTAATGCAACTTTAAATAGACATTCAGTCTGAAATTTAGATAGTTAATTTTTTATTAACAGATATATGATAAATTTAAATTTTATTATTTTATCTCAAATGTAAATATGCTTTTATTATAGTTAGCAGATTTAAATGAAGAAACAACCAAAATGGAAAAGCAGTTAGATGGTCGACATACTTTAGTTACTTCTAAAGTGAGTAATATGATAATTCATTTGAATGAATTTTTTTAAACAAACAAATTAAATATATATATATATATATGAACATATATATTGCTTTAAACTGCATAATATAAAATTTCTGACAGATTTAGGCATTACACACTCCTTACCACTATTTAAGTGAAAAATTGTGCAGTGTTACAAATTTTGCAAGAAATAGTCACACTTTTCAAAATTGTGAAAAATCTTCCTTAAATATCATACAAATTGCAAAATTATTACAGATTTAAAGAATTTTTGGAAAACTGTACTATTAATAGAAACTTTTATAGTAGAGATTAGCACACTTTGTGAGAATAGGACATATATTTCATTATTTATGACATGAATTTCAAGATTAGCATTTATTCAAAAATATTCAAGAAACATTTCAGAAATTAATAAATTTAGTGAAAAATATAGCATCCCAATTATCTGAAAACAGTTTTTTCAAAAAAAAATCTGGAATGTATAATGTTGTTCATGCCACAAAGTACAATACACAGAGACCAAAATTTCCATGTAACTAGAAATAACTGTCATCTGTCAATTGTAGCACTGCAAAACTAGGTCATATATGTACCATTATATTAGATTTTGAGTAAATTAAATTAATATCAAAGACATTAATTAATTTGCATTACAGAATTTACAGTTCATAACACTTTAAATGCACAGTATTTGATGTACCCAAAACACAAAAACAAACAAATTTCTGGATTATCAGAAATTTTGTTTATTTTATCCAAAAGACATTTGGTCCCATCAAGTTTGCATAAACAAGTTTTCATGTACAGTAAAATGAAGTAGCTACAAGACTACTATATTAAAGTAACTAACAGTGAATTTATGGTCTGTTTGGCTATAACATTATAAACATTAAACTTTTTATATGTATGATTTATTTTAGAAAATAGAATAAAATTTTTATCATTTATAATTTCATCTATGATGTGGATACATAATCCTTTGAACTTATATTACATTTTAATTTATTTATTTAAATAAATCAATAATAATTTTAGGATATTGTACCAGTTTTGATAAGAGATGAAAATTTATCAAATGGCATTAAATTAGAGGGATATTTGTTTAAGCGTACTTCAAATGCTTTTAAAACATGGAACAGGTAATGTTTCAGTTTTATCGTTTCTTAATAAATAAATTTAAATATTTTATTGAAACTAATTTAAATTTATTATACATTTCTAGAAGGTGGTTTGCAATTCGAAATAATCAATTAGTTTATAGAAAACGAAGTAATGATGATATACCAACTATAATGGAGGAGGATCTCAGGCTTTGTTCTGTTAAAATAGCAACTGATATTGATCGTCGATTTTGCTTTGAAGTATTATCACCAACAAAGTATGATTTTAAAATATAATGACAGAAATATTGAAGTTTCTTGAAACTTTATGAAAACAAAGTCAAACTTCCATAGTACTAACTTTTTTTAATGAACATTGTTTTTTGTGAAATATCAAAAATATCCCTATTTAATGAAGTTTAATTTTGGAAGAAAGAAAGGGTGATGATATGAATCTCCTCAGTATTTGAAAAACAGTTTGTTGCACTCTAGTTAACAATAGCTGGAGCTTGTTTATTAGGTCACTTGAAAGGTCTTAGAAGGGCTGAGTTACTAGTTTGTAATGATGGTGAGGAAGAAGCGTCTTTTGTCTACTTTCAAATGCTTGAAAGGTATATAAAACATTGTTTTTAATTGGTCATGATTAACATTTAATTTCTAGACCAGATGCTTTACCTATATGTTGTCATATAACATCTTCATGTACTTAAACATATTTAGATCTACTTGGTTTGTTTCAGACTTCAGTGTTACAAATATAGGATTCCATATTACAAACATCACCATTTTCAAAATGGTGATATTTGTAATATGGAATCCTATAGAGCACCTGGATATATTGACCTGGGTTCCATATTATATAAAATTGCTTACCATTTAGAGGCAAGAAATAGCATGCAGATTCTTCATCTCTACAAAGACAAGCTTGCAGAGAAAATAGATTGTGCATGTCACTTTTGCATATAACTGAAAGAAAAATCAAAATAAATGTTTTCTCAATTTTTTAGAATTATTTTATAGCCTACAAAAAAACAAAGGATTGTATTTGTAAGGTGTAAGTGTGGTATAATAATTTTTTATTATGTAAAATACTTACTCAATATTTTGAGTTTGTTCTAATTTTTTGTACTTCAAAAAATAATTGGATACATATTACTCAGACCTTGTAGCTAATGACTTGGTTGTACTTTTTCAATTCTTATAAAAGTTTTGTTGTAAGTGGAAAATTGTGAATTCAAAGTAGGGAGGGATAATCAATAGAATAAGCTGAGCATATCAGAAATTGAAAAATTGAGCCTACTTACAATTCATAACAAATCACTTAAAAGCAAAGTTGGGTTCCATATTACCATCTTTTCCTCTATATATTTTTTAAAACTAGATGAATAAAAACCTTATTTTTCATGTTGATAAATATTTAAATGCTGACTTATTTTTACAACTCTTGCCTGCCCAATTGCTGTTATTAGTACAGTTCATTTATGTTCTGTACTGCTTTCCTAAAACTACATTTATACTAAGAAAGTTAAACTCGTTTAGAAATAACTCATTTATAAATAATAATTCAATAAATGTAATGTAATTTAACTACTCTGCTATTCACAATGAGGACTTGCTGTAAATTCAATGCACTTAATGTCATTTTGTTATCATGTTGAGGAAAGAGACAAATACATTTGTAATAATTTACAAAAATCATTGTTGAATTTTCGTTATAAACAGTAAAATTGATTCTATAAAATGAGAAGTAAATACTGGCGATTGTGGTTACAATCCAGTAAGAATATTATTAACAGGATTTTTTTTCCTTCTTTTTTTGAAATCTGATTAATACACTTTGCATTCATTATACTTCCAGTTTTTTTCAAATGTGAACCTATATCTACATTAACAAAACATCATTTAAATATTATCTTTAATTCACATTTTAATAAAATATGAATTAAAGATAATATTTTATTTTTAAAAAGTTGAATAATTTCAAATGCATTTCTAATGGAGGTAAATTAAAACTTTAATTACTATTGTCATTAAAAAGTTATTACAAATTTTAAGATATTATAAGCTGTGGAGAGGTTAAAAATATTCGTTTTAAATTTGAAGAATTTTTCAATTCCTTGTTATTTTCAACTGATGAACTTAAGACAGGTCTGAAAGTTATGTGAAAGTGTCACTTTTGCTGCTGACATATGAAAACTCACTTAATGATTAGCTCCCAGGTGTGAAAGTTGACAGTTATTTATGATTTAATTGATAATATTTTTAGGTCATTAACTTTATTTAAAAGTTGTTACAATTTTTAGAACAATTAAAAAAAAAAGTTAGCTGAAGATAGGACCAAACCTAGATCGCCTGCATTGCAAGCAAGTTCGCTACAGACTCAGCCATTTCGCTGTAATTGTTTTCGTAATACATTCATGTACTGTTATATCTGGAGGTAATTTAACTTGTCTACAAGTGGAATCTTAATTATCTGTTTTATCCAAGTTTTAATTTACCATCTTTGTACCCAAAAACCTCTTGTGTTTCCTTCTTGGACAGGTTTCTAGTTTATGGTAAAATTTAACATAAATTTTTTCCATTTCAAAGATTTTTTTTCCCATTCAGGCAGGTTTGTTTTATTCAGGTTCCATTTTGGTCAGGTTTTACTGTATTAACAACAAACTTGCAATGTATTATACATTTTATAACATTTTTTAATAAATCCTGTGCTTAATGTGCTTATTGAGTAATTTTATACATGTCACTAAAGCATTTGTTAAAAATATAAATTTACAACAGGAATTAAACTTTAAGTAGATGTCAAAAACTATCATGTGTGTCCACTATTAATTTTGACTCATTGACCCAATCTTTTAACATGTTTTTATTTATAAATAAAATAAAAAGTTCTAAATGTTTCCTTTAGAACACGTTTTTTGCCCATTAACTTGAAGACACACTGTAATTAATCTTCAATGCTTCCAGGAGACACTCAATTATATGGAAGTTTGACTGACACTCAATTATATGGAAGTTTGACTGACTTTTTCTAATTATCTTAATAAATCAACTTTAAAAAGTTTTCAGTTTTCTCATTTAACCCTATATATCCAAATGACTAAATTCATTGTGTTATTCCATATTCTAAATTTGTTTGATGTAATCAATTGGTATTCTCACTCATTCTGAGTTATTTTAAAGGAAAATATTAATATTTTAATATTAGAATGTAGAGTTGGTCATAGTGTTGTTGTCATTATGTATCATTTTGTAAAGTCGGATATAATTTATTTTACAAGAATTAATACTTTGTGTAAAATATTATTTTCACATAATAATTTGAAAATGTTTTATATATTTGTGAGAGGATTAAAAATTATTAAAATTAGATATGTTCATTTTCATATATTTAGAAAATTAATAATTTATGGAAAAATACAACAATGATGATTTATTTAATATTTGTATTGGTTTACAAGTTACATAATTTTTCATTTAAAACTATGATAAAGTTTTAGGTATAATTAGACATTTATGTAACATTGGAGAGAAATTGTATTGAATTTATTTATGGAGCATAAGTTTCCAGTATGGCCACTCATACTGATAGTCTGTGGAGAGAAATGAAGCAAAGAATGACCCATAAGTAACATCTGATCCAATGTGGGTGGCTACTAAACAGCATATGTTGTTCTCAATGTTAGGGACTACTTATAAACATCCAACTCTAGGTATATAAGCACACCCACTTCTGTGGAGAAAAAAATGATCATGGCAAATTTTCAACATAGTGAAAAACATTGTCTAGGTTAACAAGGTCTGCACTTATGGGTTAGACCAGGTTAGACAGAAGCTCATGTTTGAAAAATCAGCCACAGTTTCCCTTGGCTGCCAGTGCCAGGTTAAAACTTATTCTAACTGATTAAAAAAAATTGTGAGCATCTAATATCAATTAAAACAGTATTGACATAGAAAATGAATTGGAGAGAACTAAAGGTAAGGTTTACATTAAGTGCCTTTGGTGGTTTTGGGAAAAATTGCAGTAGCTATATATGTATGTATGCCATGCAAAAGATTTTTCACATTTTCTAAAGACAATCTTGTTAAGTTTAGATAAAGCTGTTTGAGGAATTTGTAATAAATTGCAAATTAAAATTAGTAATCCACACCACCACAATCTGCACCCACCTTCAAATTAACTTTTTAAAATGGAATACCTATGGGCTATCTGCACAAAATTACAGTATGTTTAATGGGAATATTCACAAGTTAACTTGTGAATAAACTTTGAAACTAAATGAATAAAGCAAATATATTTCCTCGACTCTAAGATGCATTTTTTTCACTCACTTTTACTTGTCCAGTGTAGAAGAGCATCTTAGATTTGATGAAATCTTACATTTTCAATCTCAAACAGTAATCATTGTGAGCAAACCACGTGTTATGCACCAATAATAAACAGTTTCAGGTATACGAGGGCTGTTCGGAAAGTTCGCGGCCTCACATAGAAAAACAAACAAAATAATGTTAAAACTTTTTTTATTTTTCAATGTAATCTCCTCTGTTAGCAATGCACTTATTCCAGCGATGTTCTAGCTTTTTTATGCCATCACAATAGGTCGATTTGTCAAGGTGTGCAAAATACTCGTTCACTTCAGAGATGACTTCGCCATTTGAGTGGAATCTCTTTCCAGCCAAGAATTTTTTTAGGTTTGGAAAAAGGTGGAAGTCACTGGGGGCCAAATCAGGTGAGTACGGTGGATGTGGAACTAATTGGAAGCGAAGTTCGTTTATCTTTTGTTCAGTGATTCTGGCGGAATGTGCAGGTGCATTATCGTGGTGGAACAGAACTTTTTTCTTCTTCAAGTGTGGCCTCTTTTCTTCGATTTCTTTCTTCAGTTTTTCCAAAAGTTCACAGTAATAGACAGCATTAATGGTCTTTCCTCTTTCTAGGTAGTCAATAAAGATGATGCCTTTAGCATCCCAAAAAACCGAGGCCATCACTTTACCCGCTGATGGAACTGTCTTTGCCTTCTTTGGTGGTGGCGAACTGTGGTGTTTCCATTGCTTCGACTGTTCTTTTGTTTCAGGAGTGTAGTAATGGATCCACGTTTCGTCAGTAGTCACAAACCGACGCAAGAAATCCTGTGGGTTTTTCTGGTAGAAGTCCAAACACTCCTTTGACATCAAAGTGCGAACACGTTTTTGCTCGGCGGTCAGCAGATGCGGCACCCACCTTGCTGAGACCTTCGTCATACCCAAATCTTCGGTTAGGATGTGGTGCACTCGGTCGACAGAGATGCCTGTTGTCTCAGCTATCTCACGCGTTTTCAAACGGCGATCTGCTAATACCAAATCGTGAACTTTGTCGATGTTTTCTTCAGTGACAGCAGTTGACGGCCGTCCGCTGCGAGGGTCATCTTCCACACTTTCTCTGCCAGATTTAAAAAGGGCTGTCCATTTTTTCACAGTGGTGTACGAAGGAGCAGACTCTCCTAAAACTTCATCCATGTCAGCTTTGATTTGAGATGGGGTCAACCCTTTTTTCGTCAGGTATTTTATGACCGCACGAGTCTCCGTCTTCTCCATTTTTGACAAAGCATGTGCACACTGACTATCTGCTAAGCTGTCGTGGCAAAACTTTTTGACAAATCAAGCGGAAATTGGTATCGTATCTTTAGCAAAGATGGCTGAATTATTCCCGCCAAAAATTAAATTGATTGCAGCGCCGCATATAAGCAAGGCTGCGAACTTTCCGAACAGCCCTCGTATTACTCAATGGTCATATCAGTCCAAATGAACTTTACTAGTAATGAGCATTTAATTTAAACTACTATTTAATGTTTAAAATATCTTATGAAGCAGCAATAAAATGAATAGTTATTATATAAAAAAAAGATCATGGAAATGGAGGTTTCAAACACTGTTTTATGGAATTTTTGTTTTTCTAACTTGTCTTTACTTAACTGAACTTAATAAACTGTTTAGGCTTTTTATACAATATATTTTTCAGATAAACAGCCTTCTATATTTATGGCTAATCTATTGAATATAAAGGGTTAAGATTGAAATTTTAATTAAATAATTATCTTACTATATTTTTAATATGTTCAGTTTACTAATCTAAATTAATTGTTAAAATCAAGAAGTCACATGCTTCAAGCTGATTCTGAAGAAACTTTTCAGCAGTGGGTTTCTGCATTACAAGAAGGAATTGACTGTGCAATAAATCATGTACCTCATGAAGATAATGATAATAAATGGGTATGTGTATAGTACATCTATATATGCATAAAATTACATAAGCATAAAAATTTTAAATGTTGAACTTCATTATTTAATAATTTTATTAATAGCAAGATGAAAAACAAGAAACGCAAAGTAATTCTGATAGTTCATTAAGTATCAATGAGTCCAAACTTACAGCACCTGTGAAACCCCCAAGAGCTCATAGGTTTGTCATATTTTTGTTTACTATATAATTTAAATCTAAACAGAGATGTTACTGTAAACTGTTTTGATTATATCTAATAATATAAACCATTGATCGTGTGTCAGTATATCTGTAACGATATACCTAAAACGCCCACTAGGGGCACCCTAGCAATGATTTTAAATTAACAATAAATTATTATTATTATTTTGTAATAGGAATTTATTATTGATACTACGGAATGACACCGCTGCTGCTGCTAGAACGCCTTTTCCGTGGGGGAGAGAGTTAAGGATTACTCTCCCTCCATGAGGGAGGGTGTAATTCTTAACCCCCTTCCCCATGTGGGAAGGGGAAAACATTCCCCATTGATATGAATTTATTATTTAGAATGCTCACTAGGAAAGGCCTGGGCTACTAGTACTATATGATATAATGTGAATTGTTTTTCTATTGTGCCTTTTGCTTTGTAAACTTGTTTAGATTAGGGGTGACGATTCAAGGATAGTGACATATTTTCCTAAAATAATATCAGCATGTTCAATAAGATGAAGACTAGAGAAGTGAACTGGTTAATTTGTTTGACTGAAGAAATTGTCATCATCAATCACGTCTGGTCAGTGAAAATGGACATTATTATTCTTCTAAGTTGGAATTTCTCTATACCATACACAGTCTGACATTCGTATCTAAAATTTCATCTCCAGCTTTAAGTATTTATGGAATTATTAGATCATAAGCTCTGTTGCATTATCTAAAGAATGACTGCCCAAATCATAGCATTACTATTCCTAAAGTTTTAACCAGTTTGTAAACCAGTTAATGAAGGCTACTTAAATGAGATTTTTCTTTCAAACTTAGGTGCAATTCACACAGACACTCTTTCCATACATAATATGTAAAATTAAATTAATATAAAAATTACATCTATTTATAGCATTTACATAGTTTTTAATATAATGTAGTACTTTAAGATGATTAATTATTATACATTTCTATAAATGAAATATATAAAAGTTTAAATCATTTTTCATAGTAGACACTCACTTTGATTTCCTTAAGTTTGGTGACATGAACTGAGATTTTGTTCTTAAAAATAAGTTTTGAATCACATAATACTATATTGAGATGGTCAACAGAAAATTACAGCATTCTACAAATCATAATAATTTCATATTATTGAAAAAATAGAATATGTAAAAGCAGAGAATTATGTGGTTAGAAGTAAAACTGTGAAAGTTGAGATTTATCACATATCAAAACTGTTCTCAAATGATTATAAAATAAAAGGTTTTTCCTGTTAAGCTTGGCTATGATTTTATCAATGCAATGTCCTCAAAAGAACAAGTTTTTATAATTAGATAAACAATTATATAAATCATTTAATTGCAGTTATTATAAATTACCAGTATTATGTATAAAGGAATTTTTGATATTTCAGTCAAATCCTTTCAATTCCTGGAAATGAACTGTGTTGTGACTGCAAATCTCCAGATCCTCGCTGGGCCAGTATTAATTTAGGAATTACATTATGTATTGAATGCTCAGGAATTCACAGGTACGAATAAAAAATTATATTTTTTATGTAAAGAGTAATACAATAATTCTATAAAAGAAACTTTCTTGTTATTTTCTAAATCAATATATTTGTTGATTTGTCATTGTAGAAGTTTAGGTGTCCACGTTTCAAAAGTGCGTTCACTAACTTTAGATACTTGGGAACCAGAAATTCTTAAAGTGATGGCAGAACTTGGTAACACAATAGTGAATCGCATTTATGAAGCTAATGTTGACACTTCTGTAGAGCGTGCAACTCCTGAAAGCTCCAGGTTAGTTAGTTTATTTATTTATTTATTTATTTATTTTTTCGTTAAAATAGTTTATTAATTATATGAACAATAATATTACACTACAGATAATGTGTAGGGGAAGAGTTTTTCTAGAAAATGTATCAATATAATTGCTAATAAGAATGAAAGTAAAGCTTTGCTTATCTTAATCTATTCTAATTTGTTTATTTTTGATGATCAACCTTCGATAACAATTAAAAACAAAAAAAATCTCATCTGATAGAAGTTTGAGAATCTAATATTGATTTTTACAAAAGGAATTATTCATATTCTTGTAAATCAAATCCAATAGGAAAAATTAGTAATATGAAATAAATTAATTAGCTTTTTTCTGACTAAATAATTTTGTTTTAAATCTGTTTATTTGAATAATCTAATAAAGTAACATTTAACATTCCTACTTATTTTACTTTATTTAATAATCGTTTATTCTCCAGTTTTTGTGAAATTACAAAAATCATGTTTGAGTTTTTCCAAAAAGTTATATTTTTAATTTGAAACCAAAATTATACAAAAATTTAATAAATTTGCATTTTAAAAAAAAGTTTACATGACAAAAATTTTTAAATGAAAAAATGTACAAATTGAGATTTTTTTTCTTGTAGCCTACTGCTAAAATTTTGGATTTTAAGCTTTGTTTCTAAACTTTCTTCAGAATTGTCTTCAGTCACTTTACACAGAAGTGAAAGGTAGTTAGCTTATATCACATCATAATGCAAAACTTATTTAAAATAAAAAATTACCTTTAATCATTACAAAACATTTAATTTTTTATATATTATGAAATTAATTTTTACTTTCTTCAATATATATTAAAATTAATATTGATGTTACCTCCAAACAATCATTACAGGAAATAATTTCTATTAAACACACAGCACCAATGTAGTTACAACAAAATAATACATATAAACATCAACAAATGTGTTGAAAGTTAAGATAAACAGACATGTACTAGTTGACTTCCAGTTTATATGAAATGATATAAAGAAATACTGTTAAGTCATATCTGTAAATTTTTTTTTTCATATTTCACTATCATGTTTAGAAATAACTTGAATTTCTTTCTCTGTCTTTACTGAGATGATGTTTTTGTTAATATAGCAATGAAAAAATTTTAAATTCTTATATTATTTTTGTAAACTAAAAGTCTCTAGTAAAAAGACAACTTGAAATTCTGTCAGGCCTTTGAAAATTCAGTTGTATAGAAATACCTGTTTACAGGTTTTTATCTCGTTGATAATTATTTCAATATATCTTATTTTATCATTGTTCAGTAAACATTCCACAATAGAAGAATATATCAACAACATGTTATCTGTTATAGCACTCTTGAAGAATAGTACTACAGTTAAGATTAGAGGTAGTGTGACTTACAAGTTAGTACACATCAATAAATATGAAATCAACAGTTTATAATTGATCAAATTTGTTGAATCATATAATTTATGAATATTAAGAGTAAGATATATAACTAAAAATTTTATTGAATAATACTCTTACTTTCTGGTTGGCATAATGTTCATATTCTGTTTGTCTTTTTGAAATTATTTCTGTTTATTATATTTTAATGAAAACTTAGTAAATTTGTGATTAATTCATCAATAAAAATATTTTTAAAAATGTAAATAGTCTTATTATCACTAGTTTTAATTAATTGTGGCTAATTTTTAGTTCAGCATATTTCAAATATTCAACTACATAATTAAAAACCAATAAATAGAAAGCTAAAGAATAGTGCTTGGTGGACCTACCTAAATATTGTCAAGAATATAAGTTACGAACAGATATGTTTGTTAATTAGTGGACACCGAATTTTCTAAGAATAATTGCAAGTAACAGTATTAAAAACTGTTATTTGCAATTATTATTCAGGTGCTAATACATAAGTTAACAATTTCTTATTTAAGAGTAAAGCTTGTGCTGTGTTAAAGGTTTTAAATTGTGAAATATGATGATATAATGGAAATATTTGGAATAAATTGTTAATAAGTAATTACAATTTTCTTTGAAGAAATATTCGAGAAGCTTGGATCAAAGCCAAGTATGTAAAAAAACAGTTTGTGAAACCGCTGCCAGGTGTCGATTCTTCCATCGTTGACACCAATGTACAAGGATCTGATACAAATAAGATTATTCGTAATGTACCTCAGAGATGGAGTGTCCGCAAAGTGCATAGACGCCGTCGAACGGTTTCTGCTTTAAAGAAGAAAGAAAATCAAGGCATGCAATTGAAAATCTAATTGTTGTTATAAATTTGTGTGCGTATAATTATTATTCTCTTCCTTTACAGAAGAAAATACAGAAAAATCATTATCTGATACTCCTAAAGAAAATTCTTCAGAAATATCAAATAAAGAACCTGAATCTATAATCACAATAAATAATAAAAATAAGGAATACAACAATCAAAACAGTGATGCTGATAATAAAACATTGGAAGACGTATTAATTTTTGGGGAAACCGAGGATGTAATTCATTCAAGTATGAAATTATCATAGGTTTTAATTATATAAAATTAATTATTTTTCTTACATATTTTTAAATATTCATTCAGATTTAGATTTTGATAGTGCTGATGAATCTCCTACAATTGATGAAGTAGAAGACACATTAGAAGATATTTCTAAGTTACATCCAGACCTCCTTTTATATAGGTTGATATTTCAGCTTTTTCTGATATAACAAAACTTTTGTATAATTTATTCACTAAAACAAGTTATGTGTTTGTGATTATTTAGAGCTGCTGCAGCACATAATCTTCCTGTCATGTGTGAAGCATTTGCTCATGGTGCTAATCCAAATTGGAAAAATAAGGAAGATAATGGAAAATATCCTCTTCATCAAGCAATTCAAAGTGTAAGAATTTAAATAATTTATATATAGTATGAAATTATTATTAAAATCCTGATAGATTCTAGTGTTTTTAACTGATAAGAAATTATAAATGATAACTGAAAATTGCAACTTCTGCATTTTAAAACTAAAATTGATAGAATTTCAGCAAATCCAGCCAACATCAAATTTTGTGACATTCTTAACTTAGTTAAGTATATTATTCAAGACATGGAGGAAAGGATTTCACCAAAAAAAAACCTTTAGTTCCAAATTTGTTAGTAGGGAGAAATATGATTTGCAATGTGAATTGCATTAAAAGATGTAGACAAATGAATGTTTAACAAAGATAAATTGGAAAGATTAATTTTTGTGTGTTGAACTTATGACATGTCAGTTGAAAAATCATATTAGTTACATCACATCACAGGCTTATTGAGGTTGATACTGTCATTGTGAGAAATCTCAACCAACCCCAATAAGCTTCCCGATCATGTTCTTGAACATTTTGCTAGATGTTGATTAAGGAATACAGAAAAATAATAAGTGAGTGATGTTTTCCATATGTTATATTGTAGTGAACAAATTTTATTTCTACTTACTATTAATTTAATTTAAGTAAGCAATTGTTTTGATGGGTCTAGATCAGGGGTCGGCAACCTGCGGCTCACGAGCCACATGCGGCTCTTTGGATGTGAAGCTGCGGCTCTTTAGTTCCATACGCAAATATTATTTATTTTATCAAAAAAAAAACATTTAAAAATCGTTCTGAATCGATTAAGGAGGATTAGGCACCGATTCTATCTCTTAGCCACTTGTACTCGCTTTTCACTGCACCTCTCCCCCATGACACGCGTTGTCACTGTCGACAGTCTGTCCGAAGCTCTCGAATGACACCGTCGTCGGATGTTTCTATGAGGTTTAATTCGCTTTCAACGCAAGACAATTTGGCATCTTCACCAGTGCTTTGGCTGTGACGTATAGTTTGTTGTTTCGAGTAAAAGAGTTAAAAGCGAATTATCTTCTCAAAGTTATGTAAAAATTTTGTGGCTGTTTAAAAACTGAAATTTTGTAAATTGTAATTATTGGCTCTTCCGAGTCAAAAGGTTGCCGACCCCTGGTCTAGATGGATAAACTTTAGATTAATTTTTTTTGTGTGCCTGCTGTATGTTGTCTATATATATAGCATTATATTGTGACCAAAAATGGATTATTTGAACTAAATACACGTAATGAAAAATTAAACAGTAAATCTGAATTAAGAAAATCTCTGAAAAATATATATCATGTCAGTAGTGTTCAAAATGAGCTGTGTGTGCAATGATGCATTGTCAAGTATGTCATACCAAAGAGTGCCTTACGTACACAAAAAATTCCTAATGTGTTCCAAACTTGATAGCATCTGTTTTATACTTCCTGCCAAAGATCTGCAACATCCTGTACTGGAGTAGAATATTCTAAAGCTTTTAAATGACCCCATACATGAAAGTTGAGGGGATTGACAGAGATCATGTGGGCAGAGATGTAGTCCTGCATGGTCAATCCATCTTCCAGGATAATGTGTGAATGCATCATGTGCAAGATGGTTTACTTGTAAATGTCCCTTTAGTCATCAGATTATACAAGGATGATACCACTTAGAACATGTTCTATGAATTATGCTGAACAGAGGGGCCAATTAAGCAATCATGGTTAATCCTTGGTCAAAAAATTCAGAAAAAACTGCTATCAGTGCTCAGACTAGATAAAAGAGAATTTAATTCTTGTCGTATAGGTAAGTTATGGAACCTGACATTACCTCTCTTGTGAAGAGCAAGGATAACAAAAACAGATTGTATCTGGTTGTTGAAATAATGTGACACTGTACCAAGCCTTCCCATGGTGAGATATCAACTTCTCTTAGTGCCTATAGTTACAAACAATAGCTTCTGAAAACTCTATACTGTCACACGATCGATGCCTTTCATCTGTATTTTCCTCTATACAAGCCAACACACTTAAAAGTCCTGTTCTTTTCAGAGATTTGGACTGGAAGCTTAAAATAACCCATTTTCCTTAATCTCTTATGTAGCCATTCAAATGCTTTTTCATTTGGTGAGAGAATCATTCTGAATAACATTGTTTTACCTCTTTCCTGTTGCACATAGATGTGCAACAGGAAAGAGATGTGCATTTGGTATATGGTTTAATCCTCATTGTCAAGAACATAACTATTGTGACTGTCAACCATTCCTACACAAGTTATGTACAAACAACCTATACACAGCCATGATAATGTGATTAGTACAGTAATGCACAACATCATAATCACTTTGTGAGCAGTAAGTTGATCTTGGAAATAATGCGTTTTAGATCATATACTTATGTAAATGTAGTTCTTTTCAGTGAATAGAAGTACTTATGCATATACACAGCCCACCATTGTAACATCTTATGGAATCTTGAATGTGTAACTATATCTGCACTTTGATCAAAATGCGATCTTGGTAATCTTTAAAGCAGCATTTATAATCCTTTAAGATATTGAACATTTACCATTGACATACATTTGAAGAAATTTCTGCTGTCAGTTTTATGCTAATTAACCTTTCCTTTGTCATCAATCCCACATTGTTTTATGGAGGGGATAAATTTATATATGTAATTTAAATAGAAAAATGTGAGAATAATTATTTATAGTTGTGTTGTAATCTGCCAGGGTTTGATAATAGTATTTATGACGATAAATTTTAACAAAATTGGTTTTTGTTTTACAGGGTTCGATAATGGCTTGCGAGTATCTGTTGTTAAACAGTGCAAAATGCAATAATCAAGACGACAACGGACAAACCATATTGCATTTGGCCACTACGTTTGGACATACGGGGTAAATCATCAGATTTTAAAATATTTTTTATTAGCTTTATAATTAGATATTGTTTTGATTATTTAGGTTTGAAGATAAAGCCAGATTACATAAATTTGTTAGGCAAAAACTGAAAAAGTTATATTGAACAAAAGTCTTTGATTCATTAAAATTTCATACTATCACTAACTAAAAAAAGGTTTTTGGAGCAAGTTCATCTGATGTAAATTTATGACAAATTAAAAAATATGAAAGTTGACAAATTTTTTATTAACAGAGAAATCTATTTAATAATTGAGCTCAGACTCTGGGCTGGAACAGCAATTACTTTTATGATATAGGGTCTTTCAAAAGATAAAAGAAAATTCAGTGAATATGTGCTCTTTTTGTTAGACAATTGCCTTGGGGTTTAGTCTAAGAAATGTCTTGTAAAAAACATGTTACATATTAACCATCTGTAACTGTCCTGATGTACTTGAAGGTACAAGGGTTGTGCCTCAACAACTGTGCTCTGTGGACTACAGTAGTATCTCAGAGCTTTTCTGTAAACATAATTTGGTTTTGCATTATTTTTTAAATTAACTTGCAAGGTACAGTCGACCCCCCCATAACACTGTTGATAATTCTGTTTTATATGGGTCAGATTTCACAAATACGTGACCCATTTACAGCCTGGCATGCATATTTGTGAAATCTGACTTGTACAACATGGAATTCATATAAAACGGAATTATCAACCGTGTTATAGGAGGGTCGACTGTACATTTTAATAATTGGCTATCGTGTCCACAACTGATTTTTGTGGAATTGTTTGCTATAAACCTTTAACTTTGTACTAAAACAAAAGTGACTTAGCCTACATGTATAAATTTATTTATCTAAGTCTCAAAGCATATATATCGTACCTCAAACAAAACTTTCAAAATTAGCATAAACTGAGAAAATCCAAATTTGCTCTTTGTGATGTTAGCTTTTATGTCTATGTTGCAGGGGCTATTTTTTGCTGCCACTATTGAAAAGTTTTTTCTAAATGTAACAAGTTAAACACCAGGCAAGCAAGCATATGATTGTTACCAGTTTAACTAAAATTTTAAATGTTCTGTATCTATCAAAAATAAAAATGTGACTGAATTATCAGCCACATGTTCAGGCAATGAAAGTTTTAGTTCAAGATAAATCTGTATGCAGTAGGAAAATCAGAAACTCACTTTACCCAAAACAATTTTTGATGCCATGCAGCAAAACCACATTTTTAACACGTGGTCCTGCTGCATGGTAATTTGATAAATCTTTAATACCAGTATTTGTTTTAATTATCATTTGATTTAAATGTATTTATTTTTTTTTATGACTATTGCAGTCAAGTTTGTTTGCTGTTGAAGAGAGGTGCAGATCAAAGCATGTTGGATGCAACTGGTAAAAATGCTCTTGCATTAGCTATGCAGGATGCTAATGCAGATATTGTCACTTTGTATGTATTTATCTAATAGAGATGATAATTCAATTTGACCTTTGTCTCAGATGTTTGTTCTTTTTAGATTACGATTAGCTAAGTTAAATGAAGAAATAAGAAGAGACGAATTTGGAAATCCAGGTAAATTTAATCTATTTACGTCAACTTCTTTCCGTTTGAAATTTATCTCATCTCTCGTTCTAGGAGACGAAACGTTCAACGAAGTCGTAAAAGATTTCTCGCACATGGCTTCGCATAATCCCGAGAAGCTTCGTCGTCCTCCCACTACCACAGAGTAGTTTCGTAATCCGCTTGTAGCCTCGTTTTTAATAAGATTGCTCATTATTATGCCAAATATAATTTATTTGCGTCGGTTAATTTACCGAGCGATACTTGTGCTATATAGACTACGGAGATTAGAAAAACCCCCATTAAAAAATTCATTTTACAATCAAATTTATAAATCTCATTACCGCAACCCCCGGTGTTTCGAACAACCTTTATGTATATTTGGCCAAATTTATTGATGTTTTGTGCCATCAGTATTCAATTTGACATTCCATGTTCTAAAATATTTTGCCATATATATTTAATCCAGTACTTATTTGTTTACACTTGTAAAAATTCAGTATTACTGTTGTTTTTTTAGATCAAATTTTGATGCCCGTATTACGATTGTGATAGTATGTATATAAATTTTACTTTGTACAGCACCTAGCTCGATGTCTTTTCCTTCCGTAGACAAAATTTGTTGCTACAAGCGTGCTTTGACTTTTTATGTCGTCCCAGACCTTCGCACGAAAAATAGAGATCATGTTAAATATGTATAAACCAAAACAATAGAGCTTTAATAAAAAGTTGTCCTTGTTAAAATTCTCGAAATAAATCATACAGTATTTAAAATTAATAATTTACTTTCTCCTTCAAATGATTTTTTACAATCTTAAAATTATAAATACTACCAAAAAGTTCATAAAATTAGACGTATTTACAGTAGATTAAAAAAAATCATTTTAACATTTTCAAAATATCACAACTTCAGAATCTTGGACAGAAGAAAGTAGTCTTTCGATAAGAGAGAACTACGGATACTGTCAAGTTCAATATAAAAGAAAGTAATAGTGGAATCTTGTTTCAATTGTCAGAAATAATCGGGACGACAGCATTAGCGTCTGGCCTAAAAACATTGATTTTTGGGAATAAAAAAAGTCTAAACGTTACACAAATTTCATTGAGAACGCGATTGCGAAAATATTTTCCTAATCCAATTCTCTCGACAACGGAATACCGTAGCTTTGAATTACATACAACTTGGCCTCGTTTAAAGTAACGAATGGGAATTGACGACAATACAATTTGAAATTTTATAGAAATCCTAAGCAAATTATTATACCTATATTCTATCGAATTTTGAAATACATTTAGATGTAGAATACTGGATACGCACATTATGCTATTTCGGAAAAGTTTGTAAATTTCTGTCGATTGTAAAAATAAGTCAATAGCCTAATCCTGCAAACACAAGTGTTCATTCGAATACTTTGTCGTTTGCGTAACATTTTTAAGACCTATGAATCAATACGGTGTCCTAAAATCAACACTTGAAATTTATAACTATACTTAATTGTGAAAAATCCATGTCTTTAGGCAATCTATTGAATGATACACTGGGAAAGCTGAGAGCATTTAAAAATATATCCTCCTTTAAAATATAATTGAGAAGAATAAAACTAATTTTTTCAGACATTTTAAGCTGAAGAATGTTTAAGATTCCTTATCCAGTAAATTCACCCATAACAAGATTTCACTATTTTATATACAATTTTTGCAAATAATAATAATAGTATATGTAAATATATATATATATGCAAATTTAAAGATGTATAAAAACCATATGGAGTACAAAACTATACAAAACTTGTTTGAACTTGTGCAAATAATTGTTTTTCTTTCATCATTTTGGTCACTTCTACGGGATCTAGGTCTTTCGTTTCTGGCAGATTAAAGTGAAAGTATCCCGAGAGAAGAAATCCGACGAATGCGAATACGAGGAATATGTACTCTCCGATGACGCTCTGTCAGAGAATCGTTTAACAAGTACATATAACAAATTGTAAATAAGATAGAAACGTGGAGTGATAAATGACAAGCAAATAAAACTATTACCTTTACGATGGGAAAAGTTATGGCTATGACGAAATTGGCCAACCAGTTCACCGCGCATCCGAGACTCATGCCCGCCGCTCTCGGACCCTGTTGGAACAGTTCGCTTCCTATCATAAACGGAATTGGCCCTGTTTTGTTTACAAAATATAATTAAGATTTTTTGAAAGAGCATCAAAATTTTAAAGCTACTGTACTTTAAAATGAAAAAATTATAATTAGAGTAAGAACTAATAAATCAAACATTTATCTTTTAGAAATGACACTGAAAAAATTTGAAATTTAGAAAATACATAGTTTTAAATCACCAAACAATCGCCTAAATATTGGGTTATAATTGTGAAAAATCCATGTTTTTAGGCAATTATTGAATGATAAACTGGGAAAGCTGAGAGCATTTAAAAAATATATCCTCTAAAATATAATTGAAAAGAATAATACTAATTTTTTCAGACGTTTTAAGCTGAAGATTTGGTGATTTATTGTACGCTACTCGGGCTTTGCAATGTTATTATTTGTAATACATAGTTTTATGTCATATGCTTCTTCACAATATTAAAATTTTTGTTCACGAAAAATGGAATTGACGGTTATCAATTTTTTTTAAAGTAACACAGAAAAACAATACACGTGCTACAGAATAAATAAGTTACTGCTAAATATCACAATATTATCTTGAAGACATTTTAAATGTTGGAAAGGGACTTGAATTAAACATTCATAGAAAACAAAACATTACAATGCTACAGGGACACACCACTAAGTTAAACTTATTAGCACCTAATGTTCCATATGTCATGATTATTATTATTGGTACCTGTTCTTACTACTACTACATATTTTCAGTCCAAAATAATATTTTTTTCTCTTCACCCTATGATCACAAAGGGTTTTTGTATCCATTGTGGGTTTGGCAGACTCGCAATAAAAAACCCAGGCAGTAAGCAAGACATTAATGGCCATTCGACCACAAATGTAAGACGTCGTCGCTATTTCAGACAAGTAAAAATGAGCGACAAGGTGCATCTTAGACTGTAGGAAATGTGGTTGCATAAACTTGACTTAGTTAATTCATCTATATTTAAGCCAATAAAAGCCTGATAAACCGATCACACTGCACTAAAAAAAAAAGTTAATAATAAAAGTCAATGCTTACCTATTCCCAAACCGAAGAAACATACAAATAGAACTAATGCTATGATTGTGATATAAGACATCCAAAAAGTAACTTCCTATAAATAAAAATAATTTTAGTTAAATATAAAAGTCATATATATATGTTTTAATTAGTTTATTTTTAATAACATCTGCTGTGAATTATGACAATTATTTCCTCTAACAAATATCGGGTGTCCTACTTGAAACATTAGCAATGTGAACTTTATAGGATATATTAAAAAGAAAGGGTGAAACCTAGCCCAGAACTATCCACAAACTGAAGGAAAGTATTTGCAGAAACATTGAAACTATTCACAAAAATATTATACTGTATGGTCAATCTTAACATGATTATGCATGTGCAAAAGTGCGTAGATGCACGAGAACAATTTGACATACTCTATGTTTCTAAAGTTTCTGAAGAATGTCCTTCGCCTAAATTCATTTCCAGTGAGTGGGCCAATTTTACGTGAAACAGCCTGTATGTAAATTTTAATGATTTAATTAGTTTTAATGCTAAATACTCATTTATCAATTCAATAAAATTTTAACTGTTTCAAGGGAATATATTATTAACAAAGTTTTCTGAATATTTTTCCTGATACAGTGTACACTTCTTAACATAAATTCAGCCAACATCAGACAAGATTGGACTTACAAATTTAAAGTTTTGGTTTCTGCTCCAAACATCATTTTATTTGGATTTTAATCTTCCAAACTGAACATATGATCTTTTTCATTCTGCAAAATACCAGCAGAATAAATGCAATAATACTCAGATTTATGTAAAAAGATCAGCTAGTCTAATATATCCTGAGGAGTTGTGGATTTATTAATAGAGATGCCAAGTATAACAGCAGGCAGTAAAAAGATCACATTTTTGTGATAAACATTGGCTGCATACTGGATGCAATAATAAGAGTGATTAATTAATTTAAGAAATTGGCTTTATTTCACTGTCTGTATCAATGAGTATTATTTCATTGAAATGAGTGATTACATACAATCAGTTGAAAAAAACTATTACACATTTGACAATCAGGGCTGGGAGTCGGAGTCGTGGTGTTTTGGCCGGAGTCGGAGTCATCAAAAAATCCGCCAACTCCCTTTTTACTTACAAACTTGTTATGTATATGAAACGGAAACGAAGTCGGATGGTAAGGAAAAGTCGGAGTCGGTAGATTTTTACGCGACTCCACAGCCCTGGACATAATACTATATCAGTTGATGTCTGTCTAGATTTTTTTGATCTATCCACCCCGTGGAGAATAAGAGGGCCATTTTTGGATTTGGCCAGACCCACAATGGGATGGGTCCCAATATATCTAGGATGAACCATTCCTGAAAAATTCTTGAGATTTTTTGACCCATCTGCATTTGTTTCAGGGTCTCAGAGAAATAAGCCTAGATCTTACTCCTCTGCCATCTGGTTGGCTGATTGAAGAAATTTGTTAAGAGTTAAGTTTAGAATAATCTAGAAAGAACAGAAACAGTTTCATTAAGAAGTAATATTTACAGAATTTTCTGACAATTGTCTCAATAGATTATAATTCACTTGTTTGAATCACTCAAATTCCTAAAATTTGTTGAAGCTAAATATGGGATATTGATAGTTTTACAGAAACTGGTATAAATCAGATGTCAAATCCAAAGTATCAGTCTCTTTGAAATTTGGAATAGCATCATGAATGACAGACTATTATTTCAATAACAAATAAGTTAGAAAACTAGATATTAACGGACTCTGTTTTTTCAAGTAGAGAAAATATGAAAACAAATACTGATAAAGTTAAAAAATTTGTGCTAGTGCACTTCCCCAAAGACTGACTTTATTGCACTGGATTAAACACAGAACAGAACGATCTTGAGACAATTTTCTTGTGTCTCAAGGCTCTGTGTTTAATCCAGTGTGATAAGTATGTCGTTTAGAAAAGTGCACTATCATGAAACATACAAAATAAGATATCAGACAAAAGTGATCAGAATAACACAACAAAGTTAAAACGACCCTAGAAAAGTACTGTACGGCATATAAGATGCAATCTCCCAAAGGATGAGGAATTCTCCAAATGGCTTTCAGTGGGCTACAGGTAACCTCTACCTAGCTCAATTCTTTAATTAAACAATAACATTTTTATTCAACACATCATTATTAGTTTTTGTGAAATTGCCATTTTATATTTTCCAATAACATACCAACTTTTGTTTCACTCAAGTTATGGGTTATAAAACATTGGAAATGAATTGTAATGAAACTAATGAAAATTTTATTGATAACTTACCTGTAAAATCATGGAGAGTGATAGTATTAACAAAGAAATTGTTGACATTATCAAGCTAAGCATTATTAGAAATCGTCTTCGACATTTACGAATAAGAGGAATCTGAAAAATAGATTATATGTAGACAAGTAATAAAACATTTTTTATTAACATAAAAAGAACTTTAGAAATTTTTAAACACATTAAAACCTTTCAATTTTATAAATGAAAACTTCTGAATTAAATCATTTTAAAAAATTTTTTAACAATAAGCTAGTCTGGAAACGGTAGTTATGTTCCAAAAAAGTGCAGTGTTATGCAAATCCATGATATATGAAACAAAGGATTAATGCAAAACATAGGATTACATTTCAGAAGTTAACAAAAGTATACTATTCTTTTTCATTACTAAGAGAAATATGCTTATTAAAGCAATTAATAATTTATTTCCAATCAACAATTAAGTAACAATCACATTTAAAAGTACTGTATTACATGCTTGTTAGACTAAAATTAATATTAACGAGTTTTTACAAAGTATCATCTGAGCTTTTTGTTGATCTTGATCAGAAATATCAGCAATGTCTTCATTTGTTTTATTTTAACCATAAACACTTATGTATGACAAAATAAAAAGTTCTAGTAATGAGTTGCTTAACTTTCCCGGCAACATTTAGTGGTGCCATCTGTTATATTTTATTAAAAACTTTTTATATTTTAACTATAATAAAAAATGGCAAAACAATGTTGAGGGTAGGGATGGGTTTATAAAAAGTTGTAAATGCTAATAATGAGTAAAATAGTCATTAAGTCTGACTAATGGAGATATGACACAACCCCCTTTATTTCCCCACCCCACCTTAAATCATCAATATATAATAGCATCAATCCCTCTAATAAACAAACCACCCTGCAAAATTTCAGAATTTTTTGAGAAAAAGTGCAGAGTTATTAAGCTTCAAACAAGATGAACAAAATTCTGCCTCCCCACACACATCCATACATATAGAAAAACATCCAAATTTTTTTGCATTTCTTGACATTTCAAGGTCCAGAGTCATAAAAATCTTAGTGAGTCATTTTTTGACCGATTGCCATACTTTCCCTCTGTTATATATAACAGAGCTGGGAAAGTAATAAAAATATGTTACTAATTGAAAATTTGTTCTAGCCAGTCACGTTTGTTCAACAGAGTATAAAGTGATTTTTTCCCAGAATGTGTGTTCAAATATTGAATTGTTTGAGTTGGGAACAGTTCAAGTACCATGATACCACTGTATTTCATTATTTTTACAAGTGATTACTTACCTATGGTTAAAAAAAAGTTTATTTAAACATTTTTAGATAAGTGTTGTTAAACTTTACTAAATATAAAGATTAAGCTATGAAAACAAAACACAGTGATAGTCTTAAAGGCGACAGTCTGAAAGCAATGACGACAACACCCAGTTGATAGGAAAGCTAGGACAAGGAAGGAAAAAATTGCACTATCAGTTTTTGTTAAAGTAAACCTGATGAAAGGCACAAAACAAATTGAAAATTTCAATATTCTAAAATCCATGGGCAAATTTGAGATGACATGCATGTTTACTTGAATAAAAAATATCAAATAAAGAAGTTTATACTTAAAAATTTTGGTATGTTGTACGAAGGATTTTCCAAATTCTCAAACCATGTTAGAGACCAGAATCCATGTTGTAAGGGGATATCCCCAATTTTTAAACCATGTTGTAGAATTGCTATGTTGTACGAGAGATACCTGTATTATTGCACAAATTATATTTTAAGATAAAATGTTTTCCATTATTAAAGTAATTGTTTGTATTTGAAATAGACCATTTGATAAAAATGTAATGTATCTTTTTCTAATGATCTGAATAATACATATTGACTGTCAAGTAGACCAAACAAATTCAGAAAGGAACAGACTTGGTCTTCTGCTTGGCTGACCAGTTTTACCTAAGTGATCAGAGATCATCACATGTAATTAGTGAAATTAGTGAAGTGTCATTCTGCAAGGGAAGACCTGAAATAGAGCTGCTGACTTGACTCTGGAATGTGTGGCTGTCATATCCACAGAATCTCTTAAAAGGAGAAAGTCAAAAGTAAGATTGCTGTGGGATAAGGAGACATGTTATTCATCTATTTATCACTTGGGTTGGTATGTTCTTATGTTCTCATGTGTATACTTTGCAAATATCATGTAAATAAAGGACAGAACTTTGAGGACTGGTGCCATAAGCAGTCCTTTCCAATGGAGAATACACATACTCAATGTAGATGGAGGAGAATCTCAAGATCCATTCTTAAATTCACTGATTAACATTAACAAGCTAAAGAATTTTACAAAGTATATTCTACAGTTATTGGAAAAATCTTTTTTTTCTTCTCTTCGGATCTTTCACTCATGATGAATGCTTTGGTTAGTAACAAATACAATAGAAGCATTCATCGTGAGTGAAAGATCCAAAGCGAATAAGAAAAAAAAAAAAAAGAAGAGCTCGTTGATCTTCCCAAAATTAAGCAAATGAAATCAGATGGAAGTGAAAAGGGAGTCTGCATTTGTATAAAACCAATGAAGGGCCAGAAAAAAAGAAATCATTGAAGGAAAAAAAAGTTGAAGCCGAAACGCTTCCGCACTGCAAGCCTGAGGAAACGGGTATCGAAGAGGAAGAAATCCGTACAGTTATTGGGTTTATAGAATAGATATTTTTATTTTCTTACATTAAAATTTATCATCATCATCATCATAGTGACAAATTATCCTAATTCTAATGATTAATTTCAGCTAGCATATTTAGATATTAATGGTTATTAATTTAATTTAGAAAGGCAGCTTTTATAATTATTAAATAATTAAATTATTGGAATGCCAAGACCCCATTTGCATTCTATTAAAATATTTCTATCAATAAGTAGAGAATCTCTAAGTTTTGGCTGTACCTTACAGATGCTCTATATGTCCATCTCTAGTGATGCAACAAACATGAATTCTGTATTCAAGTTCCTGCCACACATGTCCCAACATATCACTGTCAACATCGACTGCATAGATGATCCTTTCTTGCAACTGTGCTGAATCACATGGTATAGGGAGCATGTAATGTACAATACACATGATCTATGATGTAATTCTGTAGGAAAAAAGATCATATAGGGTTAGGTCAGGTGACCATGGAAGAGGAGGAGAATCACAAGAAGCACATCCAATCCAATGACCAGGAAGTTCAGCATTGTGATGGTGGCAGAGCTCCATCTTGTTGGAAAATAAAATCTTTGTTATTGTCCTTTAATTGTGGCATTAGTCATAGTTGCAGCATGTCTAGACATGCAGTGCCAGTAACAGTTTGCTCCAGAAAGAAAAATGGACCGTAGATGGTGAAATCTGAAGTGCACATTTTGATGGTTATTATGAATGTAAACATAGAGAAATTCTCTACTTATTGATATAAGCCATTCTGCTTTGTCTGCTTTGTTTATTGTTATTGAGTGCCAAAACCTCAGAGGGACTTATGAATAACAATATATTTTTCTTACAATTGTTTCATGTCTAGTTGTTTATCTCCAAGTTTATTAACGGCAATTATTATCTGCCTGTAATACTAGATTATTTCACCAGTCATAATAGAATTATTGCCTGTTCAGGAAATCATCATCTTTTATTGACTCATTTTTACATGGGGAATGCATACACAGGTGATAATTCAATTATGACTGGTGTAAAAAAATTATTCTGCAGAAAAAATGCGTGCATGCCAATTATTTTTTACATGCCAGTTTTAAAAGATGGCAGAAAGATATTTAAGAAATATATAACATTAGTAAGTTTACATTTTCAAAATTTTTAAAGCCTTACAAAATTAAAACTATACTTACTGCAATGCAAGCCATTATGAAATTTGTCATTCCTGCACCAATGCTGCTATATTGACTTTGTTTAACCGTCATTCCTATTTTTTCAAATGTGTTTGTTGAATAATAGAATACCTGAAAAATTAATGAATTTAAATTTTAAAAAATTAGCTCTTTTTAATTTACATTTATTTACGAAAATGTTCTTTATTTTCATCAGAAGCATTTTAATTCTACAGATTACTTTTTATACAAATTATTTGTAAGTTACAAGTACAATTTAAATATTGTGCATGAAAAATATAAGCATCTAAAATACATTTTTTTAAATCTTGATTCAAATGAGATATTTACAGAGTTAAACTATAAACTACATAATTTTTAACTAGGAGATACTTACTGCACTTATTCCTATAAACTGTTGGCCTGCATGCATTGCACACATTAATAAGACGGCTGAGCGAAGAGTCTGATCTTTTAAAATATTTTTCATGGTCCATTTGTGATTAGATTCTTTTGCTTTTTGTTCTTTTTTCAATAATGAAATATCTTCTTTTAGCAGTTCAATTGGTAAACCTCTTAACTTTACTAAAGCTAAAAATTTTTACCATAATTAGTAAAATTTGAGTTTTTCTTTGATAGTCTTCTGACAATCTATATTATCATCATTGCTTACCTTCTAAAGCTTTCTCATGGTCATTTTGGTTGATATATAAGTAGGCAGGACATTCTGGACAGAATGGTAACAACAACAGACCAATTGTTACAGAAACACTATATAATGAAAGTAGGACAGGCCACATAGCTTCTGTACCTAATATAAAAATATATTATTGTATTAAATTACTGCAGAATTATAAAGAGTAATTCTCCCCAAGCCAGTTTTAGCTGGTCAATCAATCAGTTTAAATTTTAACTGGTCAGAAGAAATATTTAAGATAATCACACTATAGAAATAGTATGCAATTGAGCATTATAGTTTGTAAATAAATTTGCAGTAGGAGTTAGCCAACATTGTAGATTGACTAAAATTTTTTCTGGGGAAAACACTAAAAGAGCATTACTTTCAATTCATTTACAAATAATTTATTAAATCATTTCTTTAAATTTAAATATGTTATTTTAATTTAAAGTTTATCTAATTGTGTAAGGAGTCGATTCTGACCCATTTCATTTTGTTTTGGGATTATTTTTAGTTCATTTTCTTATTTAGCATTTTATTTTGTTAAGGATAACTACCGCACCTCACCCAAACAAAATTCTAAAAACAAAAAAAGAACAAAATTCACCTCACTATGACAACTGCCAAAGGCAAATCAAATCAACCCGGAAATGACATCTTGGGGGGAGACTTCCAAAGGGAAGTTAAAAGAATGATCTCCCAACCCAAATTGTTACCAAAAATTTTAAAAGAATTATATGAGGGTGATATGATGTGACATGGAAAGAAGATTACTAGAGTCACATAAATGTTAAATATATATATGTAAATAGTGTCAGTGGGCATCAGAGAAAAGATTTATGCATACAGTAGCAGAGATACAGATTACCATCTTATGGTAGTAGTGACTCTTTCACGCATATGCTTGTGAAACTTGAAGTACTGACCATCTCCAACACTTTTCACTCAATACCTGAACAAATGGATCTTACAGAACAATTTAAAACTAGAAGTTCAAGGGAAACACCCTGTATAGTAGTATCCTGAATGTACCACACAGAAAATTTATAACACAAAAATAAAGACATTGTATAAATTGGCACTGCACAATACCCTGAATCTCAAAAATTGACACTGAAAACAGATCAATTAACTAATATGCAATTTAGAAGGCACATTAGAGTCCTAGAAACTTAATAACCTGACATTCTGTAAACTTTTATGTAAAAAAATATACCTGTAATCTAATTTTTTACCTCTAACTTAACACTAGGATCAAATCAGTTATCATTCTTCACTGACAGCACATAATAGCATCAATTCCACATATTAACAAAGAATATAACCCTTTTTCCAAGGTGCCACTGCAAAACAGCATCACATGTCACTAACTTGAAAGTAGCCACTGAATAGCCAATATTTTTAAAATTAAAATTAAACTACAAATAAAATAGTTACTATTGGTATGTAGTTAATACATATATAGATTTGCACATATAATGCCTTATGAAAATTCTGCTATTTAGAATAGCTGTACGAAAACTGACCAGTTTTGTGGCATCATTGTTATGCTGAAAAACTTGTTGTTTTCAGTAACTTGTCACCAGAGAAGACGAATTACCAAAAGTGTTCACATTACGTTAAGCTTGTGGGACTACTGTATTCTATCAAACTTTGTTAAATACTGGAATAGTCTTCCATTAAGAAGTATGATAGTAGGAACTACATTGTTTTCCTTAACTAAAAAAAAAATATCTACCTAAAATTTCTTCTTGACCAAGAATTTGACTTATTAATATTCCTAATGTAAGTCCAAGTTGATGAAGAACTCCAAGAGGTCCTCTAAGATGGAGAGGTGCTACTTCCATTAAGTACATTGGTCCAACACTGGAACCCAAGCCTGTATTAAAATCAAATTATCAAATCAAAAAATTGAATTTTTTTTTTACTCTTTTGAAATTGATATTTCTAAAATTCTTGTTCAATAACTGATTATATACCATAAAATAATTATATGCATAACAATTATAAATATTATATTAAGTTATATATATATTTATTATATTTAACAAATACTTTGTTGTTATTAAACTTTAGTACTTATTGTTAAAAATTTTAAAATTATTCTGCACACTAAGAGATTAAAATAAGATAGTATTCAAGAACTGTATTAAAAATAATAAAAAGTATAATAAACTCCTGATAACAGCGTAGACAATCTTCATGAGAACTGAAAAATAATTGAAAAAGTTTTAATTGTGGATTTAAATTTTTGCATTAACTCCCTGAGATTAATTTCTGCAACTTCTGTTACCATCATAAATAATATACTCTTCTTTGTCATTTAAAAACAAAAATGATTGCATTAATTCAAATTAATAAAACAGATAACTTTCTTAAATGATTAAATCTTATTTGTATTGCTGTAATAAATATAACAAAAAATCAGATAACAATTTTGCCTTTACATAAAGGAAATAACATTTCATTAAAGAATTTAATTGTAACACACAATTTTTTATTCCAGAAGTCTGAAATTCTGTCATAAAATTATTATTATTAACACCTAATCATTCAAATAATTCAGTAACAAATTATTGTTTTTCCTCAATAACAGTCAGTCATTTAAATATTTTTGCTTTTATTGAAAATGAAAATCTGTTTATAATAAAGTTTAAGTAACTGAAATTTTTCCATTATAACTAAATTATTCATTTCCATAATCATAATTTATTAATATAATTTTTAACAAATGCTTCAACACCTTACTGCTATTTTCCTGCTAACGATGATTTCAGATATATTTTTAAATTTAATTCAAATATTTATTCCATTTTTAAATAAAAAAAAGTATAATGAAAATTATTGAATCATTTCTTTTTAGTTAACTTTGTGATTTTTACGTAATAAAATATTGACTTTAGATGAATGTTTACCCAAAATTCTAAAAACTTTTTAAAATACTCTTTTCAAGAAAAAATTAAACAACTCATTTTAAATGTAACAAATTGAAAATAAACTGTATAATAGCACTGACTGATCTTAACTGAATTCCATTTTCATTGTCAAAAATATTTGTCACAAACTTAATTAAAAAGATATTACATTAGTTTTAAAGCAATAAATTCAATTCAGGTCTGTAGTGAATCAAATATAAACATATATTTAGAATTTTTACACATATTTGATATATACTGATCTTTAAAATAATTTTATGGACTTATGACATTTATACACAAACATAAAACATAATTATTTTAAAAGCTCAATATATTTTTATGAATGTAAATTATATAAATGTTAAATGATTTTTCATTCAAACTATGTTCAGTTACATAAATTTTTCTTTTAGAAACTTAAAAATATACATACTAATAAAAACACACATACTTTTGATTTCTATTTACAAAAAATATCTTACTGAAAAATATTTCTAATGTATAATTTATATTACTGACATACCAACATAAAAATAAGTTACAAGAATTCAATAATTGCTCGAACAGAACTTCAAACTGTCATCCAAAACCAAACTTCAGATCAACCAAATTGAAAGGAGATAATATAAATCACAATGATAAATGACAAATCTCTCATCTTTTCCAACATGTAACCAGATCTAAACAGGTTCTAAAGGAATTACACATTTGAATTGTTCTTCAACAGCCTATAAAATATCAATGCCTTTTTAAATTAATATAATCATACCATCACTCAAGAACAAAAGTACAACACAGATTATTAAGAGAATACTTAATAATTAAATGAAAGATTTAGAAAGTTAGAGAAATTCAACTTGAATTTATTACATTAACCACTTTTGAAATATATATTAACCAATTTTGAATATATATGAAAATAAATGAAATTAAGAATAGTTTATAAATGATAACTTTATAGATTGATTGATCACAGCATTTGCTACAATACATAAAATAATAAATATCTGCTGCCAAAGGCAAATCAAATCAACCCGGAAATGACATCTTGGGGGGAGACTTCCAAAGGGAAGTTAAAAGAATGATCTCCCAACCCAAATTGTTACCAAAAATTTTAAAAGAATTATATGAGGGTGATATGATGTGACATGGAAAGAAGATTACTAGAGTCACATAAATGTTAAATATATGTATGTAAATAGTGTCAGTGGGCATCAGAGAAAAGATTTATGCATACAGTAGCAGAGATACAGATTACCATCTTATGGTAGTAGTGACTCTTTCACGCATATGCTTGTGAAACTTGAAGTACTGACCATCTCCAACACTTTTCACTCAATACCTGAACAAATGGATCTTACAGAACAATTTAAAACTAGAAGTTCAAGGGAAACACCCTGTATAGTAGTATCCTGAATGTACCACACAGAAAATTTATAACACAAAAATAAAGACATTGTACAAATTGGCACTGCACAATACCCTGAATCTCAAAAATTGACACTGAAAACAGATCAATTAACTAATATGCAATTTAGAAGGCACATTAGAGTCCTAGAAACTTAATAATCTGACATTCTGTAAACTTTTATGTAAAAAAATATACCTGTAATCTAATTTTTTACCTCTAACTTAACACTAGGATCAAATCAGTTATCATTCTTCACTGACAGCACATAATAGCATCAATTCCACATATTAACAAAGAATATAACCCTTTTTCCAAGGTGCCACTGCAAAACAGCATCACATGTCACTAACTTGAAAGTAGCCACTGAATAGCCAATATTTTTAAAATTAAAATTAAACTACAAATAAAATAGTTACTATTGGTATGTAGTTAATACATATATAGATTTGCACATATAATGCCTTATGAAAATTCTGCTATTTAGAATAGCTGTACAAAAACTGACCAGTTTTGTGGCATCATTGTTATGCTGAAAAACTTGTTGTTTTCAGTAACTTGTCACCAGAGAAGACGAATTACCAAAAGTGTTCACATTACGTTAAGCTTGTGGGACTACTGTATTCTATCAAACTTTGTTAAATACTGGAATAGTCTTCCATTAAGAAGTATGATAGTAGGAACTACATTGTTTTCCTTAACTAAAAAAAAAATATCTACCTAAAATTTCTTCTTGACCAAGAATTTGACTTATTAATATTCCTAATGTAAGTCCAAGTTGATGAAGAACTCCAAGAGGTCCTCTAAGATGGAGAGGTGCTACTTCCATTAAGTACATTGGTCCAACACTGGAACCCAAGCCTGTATTAAAATCAAATTATCAAATCAAAAAATTGAATTTTTTTTTTACTCTTTTGAAATTGATATTTCTAAAATTCTTGTTCAATAACTGATTATATACCANCCGCTCATTGGTTAAAAGACATCAGACCATCGGCGGACGTCTTATAGAGCTGGTAAATGCTTATTGGTGGACTCCAATGCTGTTCCAATCCTATAAAAGCATTGAAGTTCTGGCGGGAAGATCAGTTTGCTTCGGACATAGGAAGTGAACTCACGCTGACCTGAGTTCGCCTAAGTGGTTTTAGAAGTTTGCCTCATCTTGTTGTATTGTTGTGGACTTTGAATTTGTACGTCGCAAGGTGCTTTCCCGACGGACCTGTTGCAGTGGATGATTACCTTGAACTTTGTTAATATCTGTTTGTAATTCTTATATGTGAACTTTAATTGTAACTGTACATACGTTTATTTTCAATATACATTAAGTTTTAAATTTAACTGGCTCTGAAGAGATATTTTAACTTGACTACTTTCATAAATGATTACATAATTTCTTTTACCAACAAATCTCCAATTGATCAAAGCACAGAGATATTTTTAAATATAAACTGCAAATTGTCTATAAATAAAAAGTTCACACAAAATTATATCTGAAGTATTGTTTTCATAAATTTTTTTTCAAACATGGAATTACACCACTTCCATAGTAATAAAAATTTTGTTTCTGGACTGTATCTCTTGTTAGCATAACTGTATATACTCCTGCTTTCTTTATCTGATGATAGACATAAGTAGAAAATCCATCATGATCTGTATGCTATTCATCTTAGCAAATGGCAAAATTAGTGTTACTATGCCTTCCATATAAACTACAAAACTAAAAGATAAATTCATTGGTGTTACTTTACTTACTATTTTATTTTTCAAACAAACTTCTAACTAGTCTATTTGCTACTTTTGTTGGGAAACCATGTGAATGCCAGATGGACCACTGAATTAATTTCTTGTCTTCTGTGTGCTGGGAAGGATGGGTGCGAGACCACCCTCAATGTGAGGGCCCAAAAGGCAGCTAATATATACAAATTTACACTTTCAGGTTTTCTGAAAACTTTAGTTCAGATACCTGACCTTTGATATATGGTGAGATCCAGAATTATCAATTTTAGAACCTTCAAATTTTATCTAAGCTGATGTTCTAATCCAGAACAAAGACTCGTTTTCTTATGTAATCTTGGTTTTCTGTATAAGCAACAATGAAGGACTTTTGTTTTTATTTGATATATTGCTAATCAATAACTTGATAAAAGACTAAATCACATAACTTGCAAAGAACTTTGTTGAAAGCTTTCATATAATTTTAACTACTGCATTACTGTGCATGCAATGATGATATGATAATTATATATATAATATGATAATTATATTACCACTCTGTATATTTGAAATATAAATAATTAATGCCAATTTTTTTTTTTGTTCTATAAGCTGTTCTATATTCACTCAACGAAAAGTGAAATAAAGAAGTGAATAGTGCCAAATGATTGTTATACAGTAGAACCTCGATTATCCGCCCCCCCGATCAACTGACCCCTCGGTTAACCGACCGTCCTAGTCGGCAAATTTCANTCTGTGTCATTAATGAGATCTCCTAGTTTCGTGATTATTCACTTGATATTTCAGCTTTACTTCAGATAAGATTTGTTCAGTCAATCTAATTTGATCAACTAAGTTTCAAACATATGGCTCTATTAACAAAACAAAATTAATCTTTGTTGTTTATTCAGAAAACAGATTACATAAAAAAAAGAAATGTTTTTCTGGATTAGTCACCATCAAGTTAGATTGAATTTGAAGATTAGCTCGTTTTCGATTTTAGAACAATTTAAAATTTAAATGTTCAAAGATAAAAATGAGTGTGTCCCAGGCAGTAAATGCTAATCTGAAATATATCACATATACAGTACATGAATTTTATCCTATTTTATACTATCTGTCATAAAGTGCAACTGAATCTTAATGGTTAATCACTTTAAAGTATTTACTTAGAACATGAATGGAACATTGCTCCACAAATCTAATATTGAACAAACCAACATCTAATCACAACATGTCTAACCCACTTACTTTAGCATCATAAAACAGTGCTCACCTAGAGAGCCTTAATTTGAATATTTAGTGCAGAAGTTGTAATGTTCTCTAACTTTTGCAATAATTGACCTAGACATTGAGCCAACATATGGAATTTTATTACAAAATTGGTGTAATTCTATTTTTCCTTATATTGATGTATTTAAGGATCTGAATTTCAACTGATTCAAAAATATTGATAAAAGTTTATTAAGTTTGCCTACATCCCACATTTCTATGAATTTAAATACACGTAAGTATTCATTATACAAATAACTTTCATGAGAATTAATTAAACTAAATATTTTTTGGGAGCCATAAATAAACTTATACCATTTTTATTATTAAACTGTTCAAATCATTAAATGTTAATTATTTAGATTTCACTTGAATTAAGCTAAGTTTATAAATAAGAACAGGAAACAAAATACTATTCTTTAATCTCAATATTCATTTACTTATAAGCATAATATAATTTAACAATAAGTTTAATATTATATTCTGTTTTTCATTTCAGATTGATATATGAAGGGTCAATATATTCATGTTATGTATCATTTGAGGTTTCTAGACAAACAGTTATGTAAACAGTAAATATAAACTCTTCTAAAACTATTTAGATTAAACAAAATAAAAGCATGAAAATTTCATGTAGTAAAAGAAAACCATGATATTTTAAGGGGAAAAAATACAATCAGTAATTGATAATACAATTTATAGAGCAAACATCACAATTATATGATTATAGAAACTTAGATCTAAAAGTAATAATGAACAATAGAAAAATATACAAGTTCCAATACATATGTGAAACAATTACATAAAACTAAAAAGGATATACAATTAAAATTATGTATCTATAGATATTTGTTTTGTACATAGATATAAGAACTGTGTAAGACTCCATAAGAATAAATATAATGAAAAAATTTTTTAAATGGAGCACAATATATATACATAAATTACAATTGTAGAACTTTTGGAACACTCGTCCATCAACAGAATACATTTAGATCATTACTTTGGAAGACACTTAACATTGTTACCATAACACAAGAATAAAATTTCATTGACATTTTTAACAATAGATTTTTATAAAATTATTTTATTATATAATTACTTTAATATTAAAAGAATAATCTTTAAAATCATTATTACAAGTCAACAGAATAACTTTGTTAAAACAAAACAACTCATTTTTAACATTAATGTATGAAATTGTAAAATTGTGCTCCTTAGAAGATATTAAATACTGTACCTACAAATTTTTCAGGAATTTCATAGTATATTCTTGTCCCTAAGATAAATGTTTTAAGATGGCACATCAAAATCAATTTAATATTAAATGTTGTTTCCAATAGATATTAAATAGCTTATAATAATAAGCTTTAAATAGCATTGTATAATTTGCAGCTATATTTTGTTATAGAAGTGAATTTTGAGATATCTATCTATATGCTATTTAAAAATTTAATATTGTATTTTCAATTATACATGGCATTTGTATTCCTTATAATTTGGTTATTTTATCTGTGTGTACAATTTATATGTATAAATTTATCTGTGTCATTAATGAGATCTCCTAGTTTCGTGATTATTCACTTGATATTTCAGCTTTACTTCAGATAAGATTTGTTCAGTCAATCTAATTTGATCAACTAAGTTTCAAACATATGGCTCTATTAACAAAACAAAATTAATCTTTGTTGTTTATTCAGAAAACAGATTACATAAAAAAAAGAAATGTTTTTCTGGATTAGTCACCATCAAGTTAGATTGAATTTGAAGATTAGCTCGTTTTCGATTTTAGAACAATTTAAAATTTAAATGTTCAAAGATAAAAATGAGTGTGTCCCAGGCAGTAAATGCTAATCTGAAATATATCACATATACAGTACATGAATTTTATCCTATTTTATACTATCTGTCATAAAGTGCAACTGAATCTTAATGGTTAATCACTTTAAAGTATTTACTTAGAACATGAATGGAACATTGCTCCACAAATCTAATATTGAACAAACCAACATCTAATCACAACATGTCTAACCCACTTACTTTAGCATCATAAAACAGTGCTCACCTAGAGAGCCTTAATTTGAATATTTAGTGCAGAAGTTGTAATGTTCTCTAACTTTTGCAATAATTGACCTAGACATTGAGCCAACATATGGAATTTTATTACAAAATTGGTGTAATTCTATTTTTCCTTATATTGATGTATTTAAGGATCTGCCAGCTAAAACACACACCAATAAAAACAATATTGGAGTAGTCCAAGACATAGCCAAATATTGCAGAGCCACAGCACTAGCGGAAATATAAATTTNATACTACATTGTGCTTACAGAACAAATAAAAAAACGACACAGTTTCAAAATATGGTAAATTAATGCCAAGGTGAACCATTGGGAGATAATGCTTCACCTTAAAATAATGGCAACTTACATTTTCTTTTGATCCCAACAACTAAGCCAAATGTAGCTTCACTACTAGAATTACCTCCCAAACAGGTCCTTCTGATATCATGAAAGCTAATTTTTTTTATGTTGAATGAATATATAGCATGGAGTTAAAATTTTTATTCATTTAAGAGATTAATCTACTGTCAAAATTTATATTATAAAGATCACATTATTTCAAATTTGAAGAAAATAGGTTTGCAGAAATCATAATTACACTATCATCAAATCATCATCGAGCAAAAGTTTCACAAAGGCTAAGCTTAGAAATGTCCATTTTGTCGGTTTTATGTATTATATTTATTACATTAAAATTTTTCTTAAAAACTTTAATATAATAGAATCCACTTATTGAAAATCACAGACATTATCATTAGTCATTTAACATTAACAAATTAGCACATCAAAACAAACTTATAAAATTTTGCTTAT